GGTACCAGGCTTATAACACAATCAGGGAATCATTTTCGACCCTATAAATTATATATATTCTAGATCAAAATGAACAGAAGAAAAAACCCTCTTAAAAGGTATAAAAACTGGCCATTTTTTTTTGAATGCGTCAGACTAAAATTATAAAACCCTGTGTGCTCGCATTCTATGTCAATATTTATATTTATTTTTAAGAAAATTTTTTGTACACACCAAAGCTTAAAAAACTTCTTACAATTTCTTTAAAATTTTGTTTAATAACTAGCTAGATATTACTGAAAATGTCTCAGTAAGCATAATCAGTGTGGAACTAATTGAGTCATCACTGGTAGACTCTAAAAACCAGGTTGGCAGCTCCAAATAGTTTGCTATTGTCTTCGACCCTATTTTTTTAAACTAATATTTCTTATACCACTTATAATTAATACATTCTTTATTTAATTGTCCTGCAGGCAAATTGGTTTCCTGAGTCCTGATCTAAGGAAGGTCTAATTCTGAAATTTTATAAATAAATAAATTTAAAGGTTATCTGTTTCAGTAATGCATTTCGTAGAAGAGATACGTTTACATATATGTATGTATGTACATGTGTATGTGCACACTTGTATAAGACTTCTGTGAGATTTGTATTAAAAATTTTGCTATCTCGCGGAAGCAATATAAATATGTGCATACAAACATATTCCTTACGAGTTCATTTAGGCAGAAAAACAAGGTTACTAAATAGCAAATATACGTTATTTACGTTTATTCATTTATTGATTAAACAAAAGTATTCAAACTCATATGCTTATGAATCAGGTCTTATACGTGGGATTGTGGCAAAAGCCTACCCACACAATCCGCCCCCATTTGGATTATAGTCGACACCATAAGCCGGTTCCGATGTGACGCTATCGGCATTATAAAAATGCGTTGGCTCACACAGCAATGTACAAATATGGCCATGTCCCGTCACCAAAATCTGCTTGTACCCGAGCTCTGATTTCATAGCACCAACTGTTTTATTTATTTCGGAAAAAGAGGCTAAATTATGTAGTGAAATTTGTTAAACTTTTCTATCAAAGGAGTTTTTGTATAAAATGTATGATTCATTTAGTTTTTTGGTCAAAAAAGAGCTTTTACTCTATTATGAACAGAGAATGAAATCTGACATAACCTCAATTGAGGGCGCCGGTCTTGGCCTGTAAATACATTGCGTATGGACATGCATATGTACAATTGCATCTACATTTGTGTGCAGCATGTACATATATCTACATATGTATATATTTAAAAATTATATGTACATGAATATTTTTAGGACACATGGTCCTCGCCCTCCCTTGTTGCATTTCCTGCCTGTGCCTCAGGTTGGATATTTCTGGAAATTCAATAGCAGCTGCCTCTCCTCGGTCTGTTTCTCGAAAACACTGTATTGGCACAGCATAGGAAGGGAGCGGCTTTAACAACAGACCGGCTTACCTAGGTTTCATTGTTGTTTTTGGGTAAAACAACCCCCGTGTAAGGCCGGAACAAAGTACAAACTTACAAATCCGTTCAATGCAATAGCACTCAAAACTGCTACTCTATAGAGGTCGCCTCCGACCACACCCAACGTATTAAGATTGCACCTGAAACTAAATTAAATGCAGATACCTTTTCTTTTTATAAAGTAAAGCTATTAAGTTTTTAAATAATTACAAACAAGTGGCATTTAAATATGAGCTATTATGTTGACCTCTATTATAACCAAGTTTGTACATACATATTTACATAAATATGTATGATGTATGTATGTATGTATGATGATGTATTTTACCACACACATCCAAATGTGGCGTGAGTGTCGTCAGTTAAGGAATGAAGTCATCATTTTTGTTATAGCAACCACGTTTTATGCTCCGACCTCGGATGATGACTCATCGCAGAGAATCAATAAAGTACTGCGCTTTTCCAGAGCAAAAGCCTGGGGCAGGGGGCTGAAAACTGAAAATTTGAGTCCATGCAAGTGCACAGCCGGGTACAGTCTGTACTTGCCACATGCAAGTTAAGCCGCCAGCGGCAGTGGCACGAATCGGAGGAAAATAGAAAGCGCTAATTATAGACGAAACATCTAAAAGAAACTGCTCCGCTTTCCCGCAGCGAATAAAGCGGTTAATGAACTCATCGCACTGGAATAGACAGATCGCTGGAAAAAGAAGAAAGAGAAACGAACTGGAATTTCTTCTGTCAACAACTGCTTCTCGCTGATTTTATTCTTGTACACAACATATTGCGTTTAGCTTGGCTTTTCTGCTAGCGTGTCTTTGTGGATAAAATACTATCTGGTTTCCTTCTCGATTATTTCTTCTTTTCATTATTTTTATCGTTTTTATGGTTCGCTTCACAGTGTTGCAGTTGTCGCTTTCAGGAGCGTAGGCATTGATTTCGACGGTTGCCCGCCCACCAACGACGCTCCTGCGCCTTCGAGGGGCACTACATTTAGTACTCCTCGGCACCCTCGCCCTCACCATCGCCGGAGTCCATGCCGACCTCCTCGTAGTCCTTCTCCAGGGCAGCCAAATCCTCACGGGCCTCGGAGAACTCGCCTTCCTCCATACCCTCACCGACGTACCAGTGGACGAAGGCACGCTTGGCGTACATCAGATCGAACTTGTGATCCAGACGGGCCCAGGCCTCTGCGATGGCCGTGGTGTTGGACAACATGCACACGGCGCGCTGCACCTTAGCCAGATCACCGCCAGGCACCACGGTGGGTGGCTGGTAGTTGATGCCGACCTTGAAGCCAGTGGGGCACCAGTCCACGAACTGGATGGTGCGCTTGGTCTTGATGGTGGCAATGGCTGCGTTCACATCCTTGGGGACCACATCACCACGGTACAGCATGCAGCAGGCCATGTACTTGCCGTGACGAGGGTCGCACTTGACCATCTGGTTGGCCGGCTCGAAGCAGGCGTTGGTGATCTCAGCCACCGACAGTTGCTCGTGGTAGGCCTTCTCGGCGGAGATGACGGGGGCGTAGGTCACCAGCGGGAAGTGAATACGGGGGTAGGGCACCAAGTTGGTCTGGAATTCAGTCAGATCAACGTTCAGGGCACCGTCGAAACGCAGAGAGGCGGTGATCGAGGAGACGATCTGGCCGATCAGACGGTTCAGATTGGTGTATGTGGGGCGCTCAATGTCCAAGTTGCGGCGGCAAATGTCATAGATAGCCTCGTTGTCGACCATGAAGGCGCAGTCCGAGTGCTCCAGGGTGGTGTGCGTGGTCAGGATCGAGTTGTAGGGCTCGACCACGGCGGTGGACACCTGCGGTGCTGGGTAGATGGCGAACTCCAGCTTGGACTTCTTGCCGTAGTCCACGGAGAGACGCTCCATCAGCAGGGAGGTGAATCCAGAGCCGGTGCCTCCACCGAAAGAGTGGAAGATCAGGAAGCCCTGCAGACCGGTGCACTGATCAGCCAACTTGCGGATCCTGTCCAGCACGAGATCCACGATCTCCTTGCCGATGGTGTAGTGGCCACGGGCATAGTTGTTCGCGGCGTCCTCCTTGCCGGTGATCAGCTGCTCGGGGTGGAACAGCTGGCGGTAGGTACCAGTGCGGACCTCATCCACTACAGTGGGCTCCAGATCAACGAACACGGCGCGGGGCACGTGCTTGCCGGCTCCAGTCTCACTGAAGAAGGTGTTGAACGAGTCATCACCACCACCAACAGTCTTGTCGGAGGGCATCTGGCCATCGGGCTGGATGCCGTGCTCCAGGCAGTACAACTCCCAGCAGGCGTTGCCGATCTGGACACCAGCCTGGCCAACATGGATAGAGATACATTCACGCTGTTGGCGAAAGAGAAAGGAAAGAGATGATTAATTCCATGCCCAAGAGAAAATCAATAGCCGCTGAGCCGCGCCCAACTTCAAGCGGGCCTATGTGCGCGCGAGCGAGATGGCAATGTGGTATACTAGAATTTTTATGCTGCTGTACTTTGCAAACGCCGATTTTTTCGATCTGTCGCCATTTTCTCTGCCCAAACCGGTAATTATTCGTTAACAAAAAGTATGAAAAACTCTACAAAATTACCCTACAAAATGGATAAACACCGTTCAACTACATCTGCATTACGATTTGCAGCTCTTTTTTCGCATTCCCCTAGCTTTCCATGGCGTTTTCTCTGGCCGAAAAGATGACGTCACCAAATACAAAGAAAATTTTGCAGGCCGGTCGCCATGTTGCCGCGTTGTTCATTCAACTAATTTAGACGCTAGTACTTATTACCCGAAAATCTAACTTATTTTTACGCTTTACTCACCATATTGAGTTTTTAGTTTTTTTTTTCACACGCGACAAAGTAAATTTCACAGAAATGTGTGGAGCTACGATTTGAGGTCTGATTCGGAGAGCGTATACGTTCGAAGTGCCGGCTATGAGGCTTGACAAACGTAAATGATGGAAAGTTCGAACGCGGGCTGCTTTATATAGCCTCTGATCTAAATTTATGTATCGCCTACTATATAGCCGACTATGTATACATAAGATTTTTAAGCAGTGTTACCGAAGCTTTGGCTTCAACCCCGTTTTGGCACACTACGTACCATTCGGCCACACTACACTAGTGGTGACCATTAATGTTATTGGAATGCATGGGAATGGGAAGAAAAGCTTATATTTTACAGATAAAACTTATTCCATAGAAACATAGAACAAAATAAACTTGCAAAATTAAAAAAATAATTACCATCTTGTATTCATTACATTTCCAAGAATTCGTGAGTTTCCGTCTGATTGTTGTGCTCTCCTCAGTAGAGCTGATTGGTTTTTAAATTTACAAAACATAAAAAAAATACAAATTAAATTAAATGATTAAAATATTTTAAAAGGTGTTTCATAGCATTAAGATTGTGTAAAATTGCCAAACATTTTAATAAAAAAATATCCGTTGCTTTTTGATTCAAAAGTAGCGCAGTTTACTTGAGTGTGACCAAAGGCAGTACGCCCCGGCAAAGCAGTGTTGCCAGCCAAAACGTTTCAGTGAAAACAACAAGGCAACCAAATTACACGCGAATTTTAAGCTGCTAATTTTAACTGATAATTCTTGGTCAAAGAAAATCGCAGCTTTAGCGACAATGCGAATCGAATCGGAGGACTCATTTTGGCTGGACAAGGCGGCCTGTAGTAACGCCGAGAGACAATTTTATGAAGAACGCAATAGGTGCAAAGTTAGTGTACGTAGAGCGGCCGTTACAAGAAACTTAATTTCACCAGAACCGTTAAAGCGGCGCGACATTTCGGGAAATATGCTTATCCCTGCACTTTATTTATATTTATGTTAAGTCCGAGATAGTCGTCGCTACATATCTACAAACATCGTGATGTGTATGTGTTGCTCACCAAATCCTCACACTACATACTTACACCCCCAAGCGTTGAGGCAGCCGGTTAGTTTGGACGAAGGTGGCTACCCTACAAAAATCAGCTGAAAGCTTCGTTGGGAATGCGTCCCCACATCAATTCAAACATTTAGCCACCAAACCAAACAAAGGCCGAGCTCAGCCGTATTCAATTAAAATTCTCGCTTTTGTCCGTACAGATTGCTGGCCCCGTTCCCGTTCCTGGGCCAGTTGATGGTCCCACACTTCCATCCGCACCCGCAAAGAAAACGAAAAAGCAGAAAAACAAGGCGATGGCCGAGAAGGAACCACCTAATAAACTTCTCTACGTGAGTGCGACTTGGGCTTGTGCTCGATCCGATTGGCATTAAGTTGTATCTGATCTTTTCAGATGAATCCGCTCACCATGGAGGCGAACTTTTTCCTGGAAACGCTGACCGCGGTTAACCAGAAAACTACGCCTCCACAGTTGGATCCGCATCTTACCAAGCTGCTGGAACGAATTGTGGTGGGCATTGAGAAGTATCTGGACCGGAATCCCGCCTATGTGTTGCCTCTTGATACGTCCGGAGCAACCGGAGGTGAGGGTGTGGCGTTTGTGCAGCCGAAGGAACTCCATACGATCAAGCGCACATTTAGCTGCAGTGCATGCACTAATCGCATTGTGGGAACCACTATTGCCAAGGCGGTGGCGCACTTGTCGGAGAATCACCCAAATCCAAATCCTAACGGGCAGGCGGTGCACCAACAGCAGCAGCAGCAGCAGCAATCGAGGCAGGAGAAGAAGCGGGCTCAGGTGAAGGCGCGTCAGGATATGGTAGTGCAGCTGCCAAAAAGTAAGGTCCCTTTCTTTCTCAGGCAAAGATCTTTAGCACATGTTGAACATTCCATTCATATTCAGAGGCCAAGGCCATGATTGTGGGCGAAATCACAAATGTGTTTAAGGACAAATATCCTGTGGCGGACAAGCTAAAAGTGATACCGGAATACGATATTATCGAGCAGGACCTGAGCAAGCTTTTAACGCCGGCATTTCCTAATCAGCAATTGCGAGTTTACAAATTTGGATCCCGAATAACTGGCATCGGCACGCGATCCTCTGACTTGGACGTATTCGTAGATATTGGTGAGTTAAGGCTCATACCTTATTATATTCGTGTGTATTCCCCTGGTGATGTGTGATTTCCATCGACAGGCAACACCTTTCACACCTTTGAGCACCGAGCATCGAATGCAACCATCAGCAAGTTGCGGGCGATGCGAAATTTCTTCTGCGGCAGTGATGACTGGCGCATCATTAGAGTGAGACGAATACAACCTGAAAATGGACATAGTTTGTAATCTGTATTCTGTCGTTCAGGTCATTGAGCAGGCTCGTGTCCCCATCATAAAGACCTGTCATTTGCCAACGGGTATCGAGTGCGACATTTGCCTAAATAGTCTTGGTTTTTGCAACACGAATCTGCTGAAGTATGTATTCGAGTCTCAACCACTAGGTAAGTATCGAAAGCATTGCAGCTGTGTAGCTAGTTCCACGTCATAATCGTCTTTGTTCTTTCGTGGCAGCTCAATACATGTGCATATATGTGAAGAACTGGCTGGAGCGTTGCAAGCTGACGGAGCAAATATCAACGTATAGCATTACTTTGATGGTTATTTACTTTTTACAACTCCAGCATCTGCTTCCTGCCATATCGGGCCTGCAGGTGGATCAGTCGATCTCCCAGCTTGTGGGGCGTAAGTTCCTTATTTGTATATACTTCGCATGGATGGGATTCTAACTGTTATATTTCCTTTTAAGCGTGGATCGTGAACTTCACGCAAAAATCGCCAAGTGAGATGGGACTGCAGCAAATGGAAGTGACCGTGCCCGTTGTCAAAGGATTCCTGAAGGCATTCTTTTCATATTTTGCCACCTTTGATTATGAACACTTTTTGGTCTGCCCGTATTTTGGACGCGCTGACACTGAAATAAAGAATATTGAGAAATCACTGCCGAGTCGGTAAGGAAGTATTTTCATTAAAAATAGATACTTAATTAATCTTTTTTTCTTTAATCTTAGGTACTCTGCATATGTAGCCTCGAATCCCGATTGCTTGCTTCAACTGCGAAAACCTATGGTGGTCCAGGATCCTATACAACTTAACCACAACGTGACAAAGGCAGTTACCCGTTATGGCCTGCAAACTTTTGTAGATTACTGTCAGCAAACGGCGTCCTTGCTAGAGGAGCCATCTGCCAATTGGCGCCAGCGGAATACATAATTCACAGCCCGGAGCAAGGAATCTCGTGTCCGGTAGCGATCCCATCCCTCCACTCTGAAGACAGTTCAGTCGCTGGTCTGTTAAGTTATGTATGACTTTGTGTGTGTAAGGGTTTTCCCCTCTGCTGTAAATTCAAGGCGATTAACTCCTGTTTGGTTAATTACAAAACGCACAAAGTATATTAGTGACTTCTGTATATATTTCACTAGCAAGCGTTAGTTATTTTGAGTATTCCGTATACGACTAAATGACTAATTTAAAGATATATCGAGGCTTTCTTTGCCTGGCAGGGAATAACTCAAAATGGTTGGTCAGTAAGTTCTTAAATACCATTCGCATTGTATAAAATTTCTAAAAAATCCGTAAAAATTATAAACTTTTGTGCCAATAAATAGCAACATCTATGTCGCTAAGCTTTATCTATCTGCCGATATTATATTAGTCATTAAGTTCAGTATAAGGAATACCCTAATTATAAAGGGGTTTGGTTTCAATTGCATTAACACATTAAAAAGCGTCACAATGGCACCAACTGCTTTGATGGGCTGGACTTTACATCTGCCAAGGCAGCCGATTGAAAATTTTCAATAGTAGGTATATAGAGAAGACCACGATGAAAAAGAGGCCCAGAAAGCTGATTCGGTTTAGCCAGTGCTGCTTGGACTCACACATCATGTTGTAAATGTTCAAGGCAGAAGCTTCGGTGTCCTCCTTATCTCCGTTGTTATCTATGACAAAGTGAGACTTCTCACACTTCTTCTCCAGCGGCATTTGTGACTCCACGCGATGCCGCGCCTCCGCTTCCGACAGCTCATTGCGGGCAATCAGTCGCTCTAGCTGCTTGTCCGAATCGCTGCAAATATGTACAAATTTATACAAGGTTAGAGCACAAAACAGAAGACGCAGCCCTACCAGGACACACAGATAATCTTGTGAATAAAGTCCATTAGGATGCCGGTTTCGAAAAGAAGTGGCAGGTCGAGGACGATCCAAGCATGCCCCGTGACCAGTAGCTTGCACACCCGCCAGAAGATCTTGCGATGAATGGTAGGATGAGTGATCTTGTTCAGTTTCCCACGCAATTCCTTGTCCTCGAAAATCATCTTCCCCAAGGCGGCACGGTTTATTTCCTTGCTGGGCAACAGCACTTCATCGCCGAAAACTTCCCGGATCTGCTGCCAACATGGTTGACCTGGTTCCACAACTAGATAATCAAAAAAAAAAAAAAAAGGCAATTAACGGAAAAGGTCGTTAATTATGGAATGAACGGAAGGCGGATGTGCTCTACATTGAACTCACTCTCCCTGGCTATTTTATCAGCGTCTATCACAGGAATGCCGTGGTTCTCGAACACTTTGCTGACGGTGCTTTTGCCCGTGGCAATACCCCCAGTTACGGCAACAATAAACATATTACGACGGCAGTTAAAATACTATAGTTAGGAATGTTTTAATTTGACAACTATTAAGAGAAGTAGTGTGACCAAGTCCTTTATTTTGTATATACAGTTTAGTGTTTAACAACACTATAAAGTAAGTAGTTTTCTAAAAGGAATAATTTTAGGGTGTTTATAAATTTATTTTTTATTTTTTGTATTTACTAAAAGGTACAAGCAAATTTGCTTCGTAAAATTTAAGTCGTAATTTATATTGAAATACATAAAATACTAAAAATAAATAGTGTTACCATAACCAAAATACCAAAAGTCACCAGCGCTGTGCAACACTTTTTTTCGCGTATCCAAAATGGCGACCGAGTAATTTTTTTGCAGCATTTTGTGAAATTTCCACGCGCTCTTTCGATTGAAAACAATATTTCTGCGCGTCCTTCAGTGTCTATCAAGGAACCACATATTTCAGCAGCTTTAATAGATCTCCGTAGTAAGGAAAACACAACACAAGATGGTGGACAAAATTGAAATGAGCCTCGACGATATCATCAAGTCCAGCCGCTCACAGAAAAAGCCGCAAGGAGGTGCTGCTCGCGGCGGTCCTGGTGGCGCCCGTCGTCCTGGCGGTCAGCAGCGTGGCCCAGCTGGTGGCGCTCGCCGCGGTGGTGGCGCCGGCGGCTCGCCCAGAAAGCCAGCGCCGGCAAGCGGAGCGGGGGGCGTACTCAAGGGTCGTCGTGGAGCCCCTGCCGGTGTCGTACAGAAGACAAAGTTCGCACGGGTAATTCAAAGCATTTCGACTCCGGTTGAGAAGTCACTGGGAATAATCGGAGCAGCCGGAGCATAATATCCATGCGTTCACCTGGACAAGGCCAAGCAAAGCTCTACTCATGACCTACGCACACCACTACAAGTACAAATACAACCTCATGTAGGTGGGAAGGCTGAATGCAGAAATCAAAATGGCGCGGCTAACGGTGCCAAGGCCTTCCACGGACGGAACAGATCAGCATTAAGCTCTTCCACGACCCCGACCTCGCATCTTCAAGCGCCAGCGACGCCTAAACTTCCCCTTAACCCCGTTCTTACAGAACACTAAACTAAACCAAACATATATATATATATGTATATATACCAAAACAGACAGTGCATCAGCAATATGCTTTCGCTTTGAGTCCATTCTCTTTCCCAGTTTTCCTCGTGAATCTCTCCCGTCTCTCTTGGCAGTCCTGTTGAGGCTAGGATACGATGCAACTGCTGCAAGTGCTACTCTCACCAAATTTTTGATACGCATCGCGTGATCGAACCAACAAAACAACATACCCTTCTACCTAATACTACCCCCACCTCTAGGGCGATGTAAACAGCGCATGGAAGCATGATATGTACGACGGACCCAAGCGGGGCTCCGCCGCTGCTGGAGGAACCGGACCCACTCGTCTCATCGTTGGAAACTTGGACTACGGCGTGTCCAATACCGACATCAAGGAGCTATTCAATGACTTTGGACCAATGAAGAAGGCGGCAGTGCATTATGATCGCTCTGGTCGTTCATTGGGTGAGTTTATAGCAATGAAAAAAATAAATTGAACAAACTCGTTAAGTATGTAGGATACTGCTATGGTTATACCATTGTAACCAACAGGGTAAAACGGATGTAATAAAATTCGGTGAACCTTAATTAGGCGCCTGGTAAAGAAAACTAAACTCTTATTTAAAATTTGAACAGAACAGCCGAGAAATTTTGCCAATTTTTTCAAAATTTGATAAGGGGTTACATCGTTAAAATTGCCAGAAATTGGCAAAAATTTTAATTTATTTAATTATTAAAATTAGTATGCATTTTTATTAACCTATTTTAACCAATTAACCAATTTTAAATTTGTCCTGCAAAATCACTTCCCTTTGTACCACCATTTAACCCTCCTTTTACCTTTTTGCTTTTACAGGCACCGCTGATGTAATCTTTGAGCGTCGCGCCGACGCGTTGAAAGCCGTCAAACAGTACCATGGCGTCCCTCTGGACGGGCGCCCCATGACCATTCAGCTAGCTGTCTCGGATGTAGCCGCCTTGACACGCCCCGTGGCCTCGACCGATGTGAAGCGACGCGTCGGAGGCAGTGCAGCGGCTGCTCCATTCAAGCGTGGTGGTGCGTATACGAAAAACCTTTAAATCGGGGACCGTGAATAATGTAAATGTTTTTTTTAACTAAACAAATCACCCATAAACAAATCAACATGAAGATCATTTTTGGATTTATGCGCTTCCACAAAGATTTTTAAATACCTATTTAAACTTTTATGTAACAAATTAGTTAACACCTATGGACTTAACACTTTGTATTTTTGATAACAAGATTATAGCTAATTAATATAATTTTTATAAGGAGATTAGTACTGAAACATTAGCTTATTAATATACTTTTCAAAAGTCCCCCAAAAAGAATATATTATCCCTCCCGATATTGAATTAAGTATTATTTATCATAAATCGTTAATTCATTTACACATACAAGCTTTAGAAATGTTCCAAACATTAGGTGAGAAGTTTATAAACTATACAATAATATAATGGAGTCAAAAGAATGATAGCAATTACACGGTCCTTGATTTTAGCAACCCCATCCAATCCTTCAATCCTTACATTTCCCTTTGCAAACTGTGTTTCATAGGTGGACAAGCTGGAGGATCCTCGCGTCGCGGAGGTTTTAAACGTCCGACCGGAGGCAAACCCGCCGCCGGCGGAGGCCAGCGAAGGGAGCGCAAGGCCCCACCCACTGCCGAGGAGCTGGACGCCGAACTGGACTCGTACATCAACGACATGAAGATTTAAATTAGCCAATAGTCTGAATTAGTATATCAAGAAAAACACAATCCCTAGTCTTAAGTCAGCCACACACATGGACAGTCTCAGAATTGTACTAGAAACACACATCCGGATCAACGACGACGCCGCGCACAAGCATGTGGGATCAATCCCAATCCATATAATTGTTAATTATATATACATATATATGGCGGCTAGTTTGATAAGTCGAACAACTTGAAAACATTTGATGCTGTATTTAATATTAATACGTACGCTTTAACAACAACGGGTTCGAACCGACTTTGACTTAATCGACACACCTGTAATTCTAAACTGAAGTGTAATAAAAATACTAGAATTAATTTTGTGACCAAACCAAAACTTGTCTTCACTGACCACGCCCCATCATCTCACTAGGTTAGCAGTTTATTGTTAAGCTACTAGGCGGACTCGAGAATCTCCACCTTTAAAGTGCTTCAATAAAAGAAAGCATAACTTAATTATTACATCTTTTATTTTTGAATAATACATCGATGGTTGTTGTTATAAAAGGGGAGTTCATGTTGGACAAACTTTACAGACTATTTAGAAGTTTCAATTGGACACACTTTAAGTATAAATGCTAAATTGGACTTCGGTAGCAGTCGGTGGTGGGTGGTAGAAGTTTAGCAAAGTCAATCCGGAATCTTCATGGGGCGGAATCACGAGTTACTTAAATTTTTCAACAATTGCGTTAGACGTGTTAAACATTTTACGTTTAGGGACAAACAAGATGAGAGGGGGTTACAGGAAGAACAGGGAAAAACTATTCAAGAGTTTCTTTTGTCGAGAAGATCTGCGTATGAATATAGATAATGCGACTCTAAATATATGTGTATATGTTATGTTATAAGCGAGTTATATTTATAGGTTTATTTTGGGCTGAGGATGTGTTGGTGAGTCATTAAATGCTTGGCAGCTGCCACTGCTCCTCTCACTCCGACACTCTACCAGAATCCGCCCGACGAATATCCGCCAGGTGGGACACGACCGCGTGCCTCTCCGTTCGTGGCAGCCGACGGCTTGCTGGCCGCCTCTGTCTTGGGCTGACTGGGCGCGGCCGCTTTGCCTTCCTCCTTCTGTGTGGACACCTCTTCGCGCAGCTTCTCCACCACCTTATTGGGATCGGTGGAGCCCATGCAGGCATTGAGATTCGAGGAGTTCTGTTGATTGTACTTGGCGCGCGGCGCATTAACGGCCACCTCAGGCTCCGAGAAGATGTTGGTGTGACCGCCACCCGGGGGCTTTAGGACACGGCTGGAGGGACGGGTGCTGGAGGTCAGTCCAATTTTTAGCTCGGTGGACGTCATTTTGTCGTTGCTGATGTGCTGGCGGTTGTGGCTGCAATGCATAACAATTGAAAAGCGAATCAGATGCGGTTAGAAATACGAGAGAATAGTTGCCTGGCATACAAATGATTCTGGCCGGGGGGAAATCTAGTTACGCCACTTGCGGATGTGGCCGACACAATGACGCCCAATGTGGACGTCGCCCCACTGAGGAAACTCTGGGTCTGTGTGTGGAATGGAGTGAAAACGAGACCCATTCGTTCTGCCCCTAAAACTCCCGCTCACTTGTGTCTGTCTCCCTTGCCTTTTCATCTCACATAGAAATTTATCGGCTCCTCCTCTTTATGTTTTCGCTGGTGGCGCGTTCTCTCTCTACTCTTTGCCGTTTACTGTAATTGCGCGCTTTGTTGCCGCCGCACTTTCTTTGTTGTTCTTTTTCTTGTTAGGTTCATCGTTTTGGTGTCAAGCATTCGCACAGTGGGGTTGGGAAGGTACGATTTTTACTGCAAATATGAGGAATACAGTGACTTACAAGTCACAATAAGCAAGCTTAGGTCATCGCATATTATAGTGCATTTTGTATTGTATTCAAAATAAAACTATGAGTCAGCTTGCTGCCAAAGTTTCTCTTAACCGAATAGGCCCTGTAGTTGTTGCTTTGCACGGAAAAGAGGTCGCTTTCAACGCGATGACATCTCTCCGCAACTTTGCAATGATGCGTCATCCGCTGGGGGAGGTACATACCACCCAGTCCCAGTCCCGCCACTCCTAGTCCCAGGGGTAGCTTCCAGAGGCCCCACATAAACGCACAACTATGTTATGTTTGGACATGGGAAAACAAAGCAAAGTGAATGACCTCGCCGAGTCAAAGATCTCTAGATTAGACGGCTCGATTGCGACTCCCATAGTTAAGCGCTTTTTCCACCTGGGCAAAAAAATAGTGGAGCGGCAAATAAAAGCCAAAAACGGAGAGACTGATTGCCGAGCTCCCTTCCCCATACCCTTTTTGGCTTCACAATGCGTTGCTACACTGATTTATAGGAAATTGGTGAACCTTGTGCGGTGCTGGGTGTATGTAGTTTGATTTGTAGGGTATTCAAACGTCGACGTGACCAGGTTAATGTCATTTTCCTCATTACTACCGAAGCTGATGTTGTTGCCGTTTCCCTTAAGCGATAGCCGGCTCCATACACACACACAACCACGTGCAAAACGACATGTACTTTGTCCATGTAAATCACATTAGCGGTGCCTCTGTGATTGTATTTTTGTAGAAATTATGAGTAATGAGCAATCTGGATATAACTTGAAATTGTAGGCCCTCTCGCCATCTTACTCACTCTGCTATTGCCTATCTGCCGATTGCCTGACTTGTTGACCAAATAAATATGGACAAAACACATTAGGACGGACCAAAAGCCAGTTTCGGCGAGACCTACTTAAAAACTTGGCGATGCACACGGAAACTGGCCGAGCAAACCAGCAACAACTTCTACTCTAAGACCGCTGGCCAAAATTCGGTTCAAACCGCTTCCAGGTAGTTTTTTAGGTGCAATCGACGCTATCAACATGGCTGCCAAAAGCAGGGGCCAAAAGAGACAAGGGAGAGAAACATAAAACCGGGAATAAAGAGGATGAGTTATTTATAATGCATATGGCAGATGTGCTGAAATAGAATTTAAAAGCAGCTGCAGCACACACACACAGACAGCGCTTGCGCCCGGAGGCTCAAATTCCAAGACACTAGCGGAAAGTGTTTGTCTGAGGGAATTATTGATTTTTGTCTCAGTCCTTCTTGGGAAACACTTCCCCAGTAGGTTGATTATTCTATTAGCAATAGGTGCTTACCTTAGGCAAAGTTCCAAACACGGTTTAAAGCTTGACTTCAAAATTCACAAAAATTCGCAAAAATTCAAAAACACGACGCTCCTCAACGAATTTTTTTTGTTTGTTTTAATTTGTAGAAAATACCAAAATATCTGATGTGATTTTGAATATATTTTTTGAAAATTTGTTTGGTCACTCTGAAACCCTAAGCTGTTACTTAACATTTTACATCCTATACGTCTTTAAAGTAATTTTACACGTTTACAGATACATGCGGTAGAATTCTCATGTATAAATTTAAATTTATTAACAGAGCTGCTCTCATCTATAGAGAAACAGCTTAAATAACAAGAATTCTCTCTCGGGCTGTCGGATGGATGTAAATTAACAGAAGCCTCTGTTGTTTTCAAAACGTCGATTTTTGCGCACTATCGATGTTTTGAAATTTTAATTTTATTTTACTTTTTACATGTACATTATTGTGCTAGGCTTAAAAAACAATTTGTTTTTATTAATTTTATTTCGTTTTGTACTCTTTATCTTTAATATTAAGACAATAAAATGATTTTTTTTGTTTCAAACGTTAATGATAATTAATAATATATGACTTTTTATGTTTTGACTCATTTTGGACACGAAAAACTTTAGTTCCCTGGAATTTTTAAATTTAAATTCCATATGACATATGATATTGACTATATAAGGTACAATGCCTGCAATGTGACCGAATGCCAATTAAGGGAATAACTACATATATATAAATATAATGCCTCTTGAAGTTTACTCATTATAAAAATGAAAGTTTGTATACCCTTACAGCTTTTAAAATACGCCAACGGGTATTTACTTCGGAAACTCCTGATTAAAATTGGAACACCCTCTGTTAGGGTGTAGTTAATGGGATGCAAGGGAATACGACTTATGGGTTCCAAGCGACAAATTTAGAATTCCAATGATTGATAACAACATACATAAGTTGCTAACTTATCCTTTATATATATATCCGTGAAATCGGCAAGTTCAGACTTAGTAAAGATTTTTGTCGGCATTAAAGGTTCTCCTTCTTAAACCTTCAACCAATTTACATGAACTCGCTAGTTTTGGGTATTTATAATCAAGTTAATCCAAATACTTAAATTCACGATTTAAATCTTTTATTATCTTATCCAGTTTGGATTTCCTCGCTAATATGCATGATCCTAACGATCACAGTGTATGTTTATGTAAAAAAACTTCGAAACCAGTTGGGAATGTGCCTTGTATTCTACTTATTCTGTCGGCTTGTCAGTGAATCACTGTGGTTACTTCTCCAGTTATATAACTATGAATTACTACAAATTACAGGCTTTTGTCTGGCTACAGGTAAATAAGTTATAAATGTGTAACAATAAGTGTATATAACACAATTTTGCTAGGTTACACTACCTATTTCTTCGCAATGGCATCTGAACTTTGGGGCACTGCCTTCAGTCACCTTGTATGGAAAGGATTGAATGCTGTGAATCGAAATGATGGCGAAAGCAGGTTCCTGGCCCACAACATCTTTGCTTGGGGCACAGCGGCTTCTTTAACGGCAGTCATTTTTTTATTGGATTATTCTCTTTTACTGCCCGATGTTGGCATGAGACATTGCTGGTTGACCGAAAAGCTTACTCTATCTGCTTCAACTTACCAACAGCGGCAATGGATTCCTACAATGTAATCGTGTTTACGTTGACGGCTTTTCGCATTGCAAAAGTTAAGCGCGATATAAGGAAGTTCAATCCTAATGACGAGAGAAGGACTAAAGTTAAATCGGACAATAAGAAGTAAACTCAAATTTGCTTAGATTATGGTGCATTAGAAATCTTTTCATTCCCATCCTGATTACAGTTTCCTAATGCTTCTGCGGCTGTTTAGCATTATGGCCTTTTCGTGGAGTTTGAAAACTCTTCTAAAAATAACGGAGGGCGATATCAAGATGGTGGTCGAATTGGTGTTACAATATTTCGAAACGTCATTTGGGATAATAATTTTGCACTATTTATTCTAAAGCGCAGCACGCTTCGACTTCTTATGAAAAGGTAAGTGTTCCACGATTTGGTAGATTATATTAAAGTATCCGTAATTTTTGTCTCCATACAGCTTTCAATAAATGGCAAATGGACAGGATGGAAATGGCCCAATATCCCTCGAGGTTCCATCACATTAACAAATTGCAGTTTACATAAAATCATTAGATTTCATCGATATAATAATCTCTTTCTGCTTTACTAAATCTTATATCTTATGAAAATATTATAAATAAAGCCATAATCAAAAGGGCTGTATTATGGAACCTAGTGATTAAATTTTTTTCGGTCAGAAAGCTAGGAATGCAGCAAATACATGACATGCCAGTCACATACTCTGATTCAGAATGGTGTGATGTTAAATATATATATATTTGCACTCGTCTCATAGGATACATTTTAGCTTCACTTTTTTGAAACTGATACTTTTTAGACCGGGCATCAAAAACCCATCGATAACCGACGGAAACCAAAGCAATCGAAAGTATCGCTGATTAAATCGAATTTCCCCCAGCTCTAGTGGCTGGACTTTGTTGACGTTTCAAGTTTTTTTTTCACATTGCACTTGGAATTGTGGATTATCTTTGTAACTGTTCTGTTGGATGACGAAAATGGGCAACGATTGGGACGAAATTAAGCGCCTGGCGGCCGATTTTCAGAAGGCGCAGCTTACGTCGACCTTGCAAAAGTGGGTGTCGGAGGCGGTAAACTTAAATACTTGCATTTAACCAAAAAACTTTCCATATTTTGTTGCTTGAAGGCTCTCCGAGCGGAATTGTGTGGAGATTGTGACGCTGCTGCTGGAGAAGCAGTTGCTGGAGGTGGTGTTTACCAACGACGGCAAAGAGTACATCACACCGGATCACCTGGAGCGCGAAATTCAGGATGAGCTGTATGTGAACGGAGGTCGTGCCAATTTGGTGGAGGTCAGCAAAACGCTCAACGTGGATCTATCGCGGATCGTCGGCTTGGCCGAGCGGATAGCGGCGGAAAACCCAAGTGTGCACCTCGTGCTGGGGCAGCTTATTGATGAAGAGTACATCGCGCACATTGCCCAGGAGATTAACGAGAAACTGGCGCTGAGGGGGAGATCTCTATATCGGAGTTGGCCTCCCAGTTCGACCTACCGTCGGATTTCCTGCAGCAGGACGTCGTTGAGAAGCATTTGGGAAGGATCATCAAGGGCAGACAGGATGCGACCAATCCGCGGGTGTTCTTCACGCAGGCCTACATCCAGCGCTGCAAGGCGAAGATTCGTGGTGCCTTGGCCGCCATCACTAGGCCCACAAATGTGGCTGTAATTCTGCAGCAGATTGGAGTACAGGAGAAGATCTTTCATTCCCTTCTGGACGAAATCTCGCCGGCGGGGCAGGTGACCTCCAAGCTGGCCAATGCCCAGTATGTGCCCCAGATCTATGCCAAGACTCAAGCGGACTGGGTAAACTCGTTCTACAAGCAGAACAGTTTCCTAGAGTACGAAGCCATACACAAGCTGGGTATTTCGGATGCCAAGTCCTATATCCGAAAGCAATTCCCCAGTGAGGAGTTCCTCTTTCTCAAGCGTGTTGCGCTTGGAGCACGCCTGGTAGAGTTGACGGTGGTCACGGCGCTCAACGAATGCAGTGCCACCAAGCAGTACCTGGATCTATCCACCATTCTGCCCTCCAATTTGTCGGAGGAGGACATTGAGGAGGTGTTCGGCGCCATCATGGCCCAGAAGCATAGCAATCCCAGCAATTTTGTGTACCTGGATAGCATCGGTAAATAATTTTCCGTCATTGTACTCTCGTTCCATCGTTAAAGGCAATCATTACCTAAATTCGCTCTTTTTAGTCTTCTCGCAACCGTATCTTACGCAGTTAGTTCAGCCCTGCCAAGCTCTGGCTGAGGCCCAGGCGAAAACGGCCATTGACAGCGGCGTCTACCAGCAGCACATTGTAGAAAAAACGTTGGCTCAGAAGGGTAATGCCTCTGCTCACGATCTTGAGGATGATGGTAAGATCGACAAGAGAGATGAGCGACGAAAGAAGGCAGCTTCAGGCAAAGCTGGCGGCGGAGCTCAGGGACGCGAGACCAAGACCAAGTCAACGAAGAAGCATCCACGTGGCAGAGCAGCAGCTGCTCAGAACGACAGCGATGACGAGGATGATGCTGGCTTCTCAGCTGGTGGTGGTGGTGCCGGAAACAAGAAGACTGTGAAGCCATTGGCCCTGGTCAAGACTGCGGATATTGTAAAACTAATTACTGCTAGTCTGGAGGAGGAGGGATTGGAGCACTTGGCCAAACCCATTGCTGCATTGTATACGAAGTATGTTAAAACAGTTAATCTAGCCTAAACTAGATAGTAGTTATATTTTAATGTTTTTGGCTCTTGACTCTAATTGTAACTCTTACGCTTTTAGCCAATTCAATCAGGCAGCACTGGTACGTGCCCAGGAACTGTTTGAAGCTACACCGCAGACAAATCGTCGCCAAACGCACGCTGCCATTCAGGATCGTATTAATACGTTGCTGATAGACATACGGCTGTATGAGAAGGGCTTGAAGCTCTTCCCGCAGGAAACCCAGTCGCAGTTGGTTAAATATCTGCTGAAGTCTTTGGGTAATGAAATCAGCAACGAACTTTCCCTCTATGTGGCCAGCGAGTGCAATCTGACTGTGAAAAATTCAAACCTAAATGTGGATCAGCGCAATAAGTTAGCGCAGGAATGCGATGTCCAGTACCGCACGGCCCTTTTGGAGCAAAATAAGGCGTTGAATAGGACGATCGATGATTTCGAGCTTGCCACGGAGGCGGTACTGAAGACCTGCAGCATGATCATCAAGAAGGTGGACAAAAAGAAGGATCGCCTGCTGATCGCTGACCACAAGAAGAAGCTGCAGGAACAGCTACTAGAGTGCCAGGAGCCAGCGTTAATGTTGCACTTAGCCGCACTTATCCTCTTCACCACAGTAAGCGGCTGCATTCTGCACGCCTCCGGAAAGTTCGTCTCTGCGATTCTGCAGCACATCCGTGGGTCCTTGAACGAGTCGCAGAATGCTTTGCTGCTCCGCTATCACGGTGAGTTTGCTTTGTTTGCCTTTATTTTGATTTTCACTTGATTTTTATGCAGGTTTGCCTATGAAATGGGATAGAATCATTTTTAAATTCAATTAAAATTTTTGAAATATAAACATTTTTGCATACCGATGCTAATTGATTGATTCTGTGCATCTAATTTCAGATCTGGTTCTGCAAGTGCTACAGGCATCGTCGGATAGCAGCGAGTCAAAGACTGCCCTCGAACAATTGCAGGTGATGCAGAAGGAAGTCATCGATCTGGCTCAAAACTTCACTCGCGCCTCCGTCTCCAAGGCGGATTGAACAAGCAATGCTCTCTTCCCGAAGCATTTCAGTCAATTTAAATTAGTTTTTTGAGTTTTTTTTATTATTATTGCTATGCACGCGAGAGTCGCCTATAAATACAATCAGTAAAGGATACAAAAGAGAGTTCCACACTTTATCACTTCAGAGGTTTTTATGTTTTTATAGGAAAACTGTTTCTAGATTGATTTGGTTTGGGAGGGCAGGCTAATTCCCAATTTTGTGTACAACTTTTAATTTGTAAGCTCAAGCTTTACTCGTTTTATAAAATTGTCTTACTGAGCGAGCAGACCTGTGATTTATATATGTACATAGACTTGCCGAATTCTTATAATTAGAGGATTTGCTAACAGTACAAGATATATGTAGGTTGTGCTCATTTGATTGTTAGGATTGAATTGTGAGCAGTGATCGATGCTCTCTAAATACTATGAAGTCTTTGAAGTATCTGCTTGGCCTTGTCGCTGGATTGCCTGTTGAAAAAAGTTAAAAGTTAGTTCAAGTGCTTGCCTGAAATCAGTTCCAAGTTATTACATAAAGACTGGCGGATTGCTTGCATCACAGCTTTCTAGAGTTTGTTTGATGTATCCTATGAACAGCTCAAGATTCTTGAGGGTTTCGCTGTTGGGCAACAGCCAGACCGTGGGCAATGTATTCACAATGATGTAGGCCTTGTTGATGGCATCGTTTGGCGTGCAGACGCGCATAGCCAGAAGAAGGTAGCGGTTCAATAGCGCTCCAATAGCAAGCTCTCGAAGCAGCTTATCTGCCAAAATTCCCTGCCAGCTAAGAAAGTTGCGGAAAAGCTTTAGGCCGCTGCAAAACTGTCGCTGGAAAAATGATGTCTTGGCTTCTTGCACTCTGCAAAGGGAATAAAAGAATCACCATAATATTTAAGTAAGGGGAAATGCTTGACTTACTGCTTGGGAAATATGGGTATAAAGACATCATTCTCCAGGGCCAATCGCATGCGTTCCATAATGGACTCAAATAGCTTATTCAGCTGTTTATTGGTGCCGCTCAGCGGAAACTCTCGGCCCAAACGATTGATGAAACCCACCAATCTCAGCGTCTGTGTGGTGGACAGGGGATCCCAGCACTCAGTGACCAAAGCTGTTGAATAAACATATCATAAACATCGGAAGTAACCAACCAGCAATTTCTAGGTGGTACTCACCGGTCACCTTGGGTAGGATTATCTTTTCAATGAGCGCCGGAACCAAATTGATGTCCGGATCGTTCTTCAGCTGGTCCACGGTCTCATCTGGCTGGCAAGCATACAGCATGCAGGCCTGATACCAACGCATATTCTCGATATCCGCGTACTCGTCCAGCAGAGGTGACCACAGGAGCAGCTCGTGGCGCACCAGCGGCGCCAATAGCTTGGGCAGGCACAAACTAACGAAAGCATCTTGGTAGGAGGACATGTCCGTTTTACGCCAAGCGTAGAACTTCATCAAAATCAGCTCGACCTTTGAGAATTCGTCGGTGACGTCCTCGAAGGTTTCCAACGCCTGTGACTCCATTTGAGCGGTAGAAGTGACGCTTTGTTCCTGCTGTTGGTCGGCGATCTCATCATCGCTGGACATGCCATCTAGGTGCGAGGAGAGCAGATCGTTTCGTTCCCGCTCACATCGACGGCGTGTCCTACGACCCTCCCGCTCGGCCGCGCGACGAACTTGCTCCTCGTATTCCGGTGCCCGACGGGCAGCAGCGGAGATGGGCTCTGAAAAATATCCAACTATTTATAAAAATGTCCGTTTCTTAAATACTAAACCCGTATTACTTGCTGCCTCGGCAATTTCCTTGGCCTGATCACGAACATCCTGGCGGCGACGATTAACCAGATACCGTTGATTCTTTCCATATTGCTGCAGGGATCGCTTTTCCAGATCGTTAATCATCGGCGTCTTCTCGGCCAGGCAGTCGACCAGGTCGTTAACGTAGCACTTGACCTCCTGATAGAACTTGTACTTGGCTGCCGCCGTTGGTGCATTTTGTTGGCACTCCAGCTGCTGGAGCTTCAATGACTTCAGTTCCAGACTTATTCTGGCCATGCTGGCGCTGTGATCGGTCGAGCGTTCCCTTAGCTCGCTCAGACGTGACTGAATGGCAGCAAAGATCTCCTGTGGTGTTCGCAACGCCGTTGCCTTAGCCTTCTCCTTCTTCGCCTTGGTCGATGACCGCACAGCTGCCGCCAGATTGACGCGATCGAGGGAGCTCTTAGCGTAGGCCTGTTCCAGCAGCGTTGAGGTGGACTGTTGAGGCGGCGCCATAGCATCCGCGTCATCGTGCACAACAGACCCTCCTGCCGGAGTAGCAGGTTTGATCATAAAGCGCGACAGGACGGTTTCGTGCTGTGCATGAACCAACTGGGCACCGGTGACACCCTTGCGTATCTGCTGATTCTCCCACTCGTTCATTTCGCGGTCGGAGTCTTCGTCGGTGGCTGCAGTGGATTGAATAGAGGTTAGTTAGAAAAAGGATTAACATTATAGGACAGCTGCAGCTCTGGCTTGGCTGAGATTTTTGACCAGAAAACCCGACTGGCTTCTTCTCACTACATACAATCATTCTCGACCGCATAGAACTGCTCGCGCCGCTCCTCGCGCTCCTTGCGCCCAGTTATATCGTTCATATCCATGCGTTCCTCGTCATCAGATTGATCACCTTCCACATCCTCGCAGGGCAGGCGTGTACTAAGCTTGGGCGGTTCCTTGGGCTCTTCAATAGGTATGTAGTCGCCGGCACCTTCAATTCGAGGTTGAGAAACCATAAAATTAATAACTTTTACAATTTAAATCTGAATTTATTTTACCCTGTTCCCTGGCCCGCTGACGACGCTTTCGAGCAGCGTGTATCATAGCTGCATCCGGAATGGAACCGCTCTCCAACATCTGCTTTAAGTGTTCCGGCTTCGAGAAGCGGTGGCGTGACTTATCATGACCACCATCCTCGGATTGCTGGTCATCTTCGTCGCTCATATCATCTCGCCCAGCACATAGGGCAGCTCGACCGTTCAGTACTCCGTCGGGTGTCTCTGATTTCTTTACTACTAGCTGCAGAGACAAGGAATCGAAATTTATGTTATTTAGGGCAATCTCAAGAGGTTTAGAGTGCGGCTGAAATAAATCGTGCTGCTTATAGTGGAGGACATGCCATTATTATCAGTGGTGGGAAGGATTACCAGAAGTGATGACAAAGTAACTACTTAAGTTAGGGAAGTAACCTATTAGCTATTGGCAAAATACTTTTAAATTATATTATAAATGGGTTTCTTCATATTTTTTTAGTTGATAAGAAATATTGAGAGGAAAATCCGACATGATAAATGTTATATTTGTATATTGTATATATAGGGAAATAGAACAAATTCTATTTTTATGAAGCATATTTCACCTCTGGAATGATACTTCCCATCACTGATGATACGTTATAATTGAAATGGGAAACTAAGCCATAATAAGAGACTACATCTTGGTTTCAAAAGTCTCAAAGCTAAAGCTAAACACAGCTAGTACACAAACTCATTCAAGCTAATGGTGTACTTTGCTAATTCTAATCAGTCTAAAATCTAAATAATTTAAGTGTAATTTTCTTTTTTGATGTTGAATTATTTCGTTTAAACGGTATTTATGCGAAATAGAAGAAATTGAATAATAATAACCTTACCACAAAGTCGTCTGTGCGTATTTCGGTTTGGATCATATGATTATCACTTTTTTTACTTTTACTCTGATCACTGGCAGTATTCCTAAATCTGCCAGCGGCACTCGAGTTGGGAGTTTGAGCTGACCCCGAAGACGCGCCACCGGACGACTCTAAATGCTGTGTACTACCATTTTCGCCACCGAGCAGATGTCCGAGGCTGTTCTCCGCCCGTTCCTCGCGCTTCTTTTTGCGCCGCTCCTTGTCCAGCATGCGCATCACTTTCTTGCTGTGCGATGATTTCCGCACCTGGAAGACCTCTCCGTCGTCCTCTGAAAAAGGGGTTGCGGTTGTTCATAGATTCGAACGGTTCTGCATGGAGTCCGTAATCGGGAGTCTTGAGCACACTTACCATCGTCCGCGAAGCTGAGCAGCGCCTTGGGCTTGCTGTTGTCCTCCTGCGGCTTTGCAGGCTTTCGGCTCTTCTCTTTGTTGTCCCGCTTGCCGGATATTACGGGCGGCGGAGGCGCCTCCATCTCGGCATCCGGATCCAGCGGTGGCCCCTCGTCATCGTCCACATTACTGGAGAACACGCGACGCTGGATTTTCTTTGGTTTGCGAAAAAGCGACATTTTCTTCAAGATAATGGGAGTTGTTTAATCAATGAAAACTCTGAAGAAAAGCCAATTTTCGCCAAAACTTCTTCTTGCTGTCGTATTGTAATAGTGATGGCACTATTAGAGCTAAGTACTCGCGTGTGTAAGCGTGAGTCACGACCGGTGGTATGAAGCAGTACAGTGGACGTCACAAAAATATATACAAATCGGAAATTATATTTTTGTTTGTTTTCCAATAAAAAATCAATATAGATATAAACACTACGCACTAATAAATTCATAAATAAAAGCATTTTGGTAGATAATAAATTCAGAACATGACAAATTGAAATAATATCGCTGGAGCAGGCCCACTACCATCGCGATAGCAATCGATAGTGTTGTGCTATCGATATAATTGATAATGCCGTCGAAGTTATTCCATCTCTAGCTTAGGCGACCGAAGAACGTTTCAAAACAGACTGAAATAGTCTTTATTTACTTTTAAATTTAACCATAGAATCTCAACGATGGGCCTGAAAGGTTGTGAAGTTCAGTTGGACAATCCGTGGAACACCTATTACGCTGGCCAGGTAGTCAACGGGCAGGTGAAATTCACCTTCGACTCGCCCAAAAAAGTTCGAGGTAAGAGTTAAATCACTTTTGTGTTGGACACTTCAAGAGTATTTGTTAATTAAAAAACCAGCTGCGTCCTATTACTCATAGGTGTGACGACATTTTTGCATGAGGCAGTGATGAATTCCAGCTATATATACATATCAAATATGTTTTATTGTTTTCATTATCTGACATCAAAAGCCGGTCCACCACCCACCACAGTGGGATGGGCGGATAGTTTTTAAACGACCTTGTTTTTACACATACATATACCTTAACGGTTGTTGAACCCCGAAAAGAAGTGCACTTTCTCCTCCTCTTCGCCGTTTGGCGATAAGAAACTATTAATAGGTTCAAGTGTGTGGAATATCAGTGAAAGTAAATTGTGTAGAAATCATTCGAGATAATTTTCCCATTGTTTGCTGCAATGTAGAAGAAATACAAGATTACTCATTCAAGTATCCAATAGTTAATTAAATATAGGAGTAATCTATTAAAAGAGTCGTGTTATTTGACCTATGTGTGTGACAAACATTCCAGGGCATACGAATTTTGAGGCCATCAAACATGGGAAGCAGCGATGCTGGCTAGTGGCGATGATGTCATCCGCTGGGCATGTCGCGAGCGCGAGAGGCAGAAAGCTTTACATATTATTTGTAGCTAATATTATAACGCGACAGTGACGCACTAGACACTTGTTCCCTGTTTCAGGCATTATCATCCGGTTCCTGGGCGAAGCCAACACGGAATGGACCGAGGAGCGGAATGTGACCACTAGCGAGGGCAAGACGGAGAACGAAGTAACCCAGCTAAAGGGCCATGAGGAGTACTTTAAGATTCAGTACTATCTGCTCGGCGGCAAAAACAGTAAGTATAAAATGCAGAAATATTATAGAACGTCATTAATTAATTTGTTCAATCTTTAATTTTGCTTACTCAAATTAAGCATTATTAGTAGCTTTATAAATGAATAATTTGTAATAGATATTACCATTTTTTTATAGGCTCTGAGACCGAGCTACAGCCTGGCACCCATACGTACCAATTTACTTGCGCTCTGCCGCCAACTCTGCCCTCGTCTTTTGAGGGTGAATTCGGACATGTACGCTACACCATCAAAGTGACCCTGGATCGTCCCTGGAAGTTCGATCAGGACATGAAGATGGCCTTTACTGTGATTGCTCCAGTCGATCTGAATCTCAATCCGCGTGTCAAGGAGCCCTTTAAGCTTGAGTTGGAAAAATCCTTCTGCTGCTTCTGCTGTCGCTCCGGTCCGTTGTCCGTCATCACGAGTATACCGCAAACGGGCTATGTTTCTGGCCAGGTGCTTCCCATCACTTGCGAGGTGGATAACGCCAGTAATGTAAATCTAACTGCCGTCAAGTTCGAGCTGCGCAAGCTGGTAACCTTCCACACAAACCAGCCACGCAGCGAGAAGCGCGAGTCGAAGGTGATCATAGCTAACTTGAGTGTTGGCCCAGTGAATGGCGGCGAGTCGCGCACGTTTACCCAGCAGCTTGAGATCCCGGCCCTGCCGCCAACTAATCTCCTCAATTGTGGAATTATCGCCTTGGATTATGACCTGCATGTGGATTGCGATGTGAGCGGTCCGCACCGTAATCTTACCGGTAAAGTGCCCATTACCTTAGGCACCATTCCGTTGGCGGGCGTTAGGCCGCCAGCACAGTACACAGATGCTCCTGCTGCTGTCCAATCCGAGGATCCCTCGCTGGCCCCAACACAGCCTGTGAGTCCGGCCAGTCCACCGCCGGCCGGTGATGGTGTTGGCGGTGCCCTGGGCTGGAATGTGGCCGATAGCACTGGTGGCGGTGGTTCCCTCTATCCCAATATACGTGAGTATAAATTTATGAACTATGGGATTTCCAAGCATAATTCAAATGTAGAAAATATTTTCTTCTTCTGTTATAAACTCAAATAATTAAAATATAATTTATTTACAGCACCACCGCAGTTTGTGGAGACCCAATATAAGGCACCGACCATTGCCGGACGTGATGATTCCGAACATACTCAGATCATCGGTGACGGAGCCTTCGCTCCTCGCTACCCAACTTTCCAGTTTAATAACGCCACGGCACCGCCAGCAAATCACTAAAGAAATCTGCTCAAAGCCGATCCACAATGATATTGTTATTATGGTCAAACAACCTATTTTATTCAAACCAAGCGATATAGCAACAAAGTTGAACCCTATGAATTTTTCTCAATTATCCTCAATTTGTTTCGGCTTTGAATTTATTATTGAATCAAAAGCTTTCCGTCCAACAACGAAAGCCAAATATGTTTCCATAATCAAATACTTTAAAGGAAAACTTTAAATACGCTTTGGTTAATCTTTCTCTTATCTTGTTTTATATACATATAAGTAATTATTTTGTACAATAAAACAAGAAAAAATCAATTTAAAAATGCAATTGAAGAATGCGTAGAATACAGTTAGGCGCCACATATTCACAGCAAGTTCTGTGACACTTTAAATATGATAAAACCCAGATTTTTATATTGCGACAATATAATAATATACGCACAATATATACAGAAATCTCACAAACCACTGTGAATTTGAAATCTTAAAAAAAATACGCTGTAAAATGGTAAAAATTACAGAATAAATGTAAATGATAATGTTTCAATTGTACACATAAATATTTAATTTAGTATCAGACACCGATTTTTAATTAATTTAATTTGAAATCCCGGATAGTAAATCTCAACGTGCTGCTTAACATTCCAATGTTTTGTTTCAGTAAGCGAGAAAGAGTGGTTGGGAAACTGATGTCTCACAATTATCGGCATTAAACACAATATGCAATGGGGCGCACGGTTCAGATATTATTTTGAAACGAGAATTGGGAACCGTTCTTTAAGAGGTTTCGGATTTAAGATCAGTTTAATCGCGTCATTTAAACCCTATTTCTTGGGTTTATCTTTGTCATGTTTTTTGCAGAGCTCCTTGAGCCTTTTTTCCTTTTTCTTTTGCTTTTCGCGCATGCGTTTTTCCTTTTGAAGTATGCAATCGCACTGAGCCTTCAAGGCTTTAATCTTTTCTTCTTGAGCTTCAACTTCCCTTCGGCTAACTTCTTGCATACCGCCCAGATATTTTTGGAATTTGATTTTTGTCTTTTGAATCCTTTTTCCTGAAGAAGATGCATCTTTAGAATCTTTTTTTTCTGGTGGAGATGATGCAGCTTTGGAGTCTTTTTTTCTGGCAAAGATTTGGCTTTGGAATCCTTTTCTTCTGGCGAAGATTTGGCTTTGGAATCCTTTTCTTCTGGCGAAGATTTGGCTTTGGAATCCTTTTCTTCTGGCGGGGATTTAGCTTTGGGATCCTTTTTCTCTGGCGGAGGTTTATCTTTGGAATCCTTTTTTTCTGGCTCAGATTTATCTTTGGCTTCTTTTTTCTCAGATGGAGATGATGATTTTTCTTTCGATCCATCTTTGGGAGGCGAGTCTTCAGAAGATGATTCCGCGGCCAGTTTGGCGCATTTGTCCACTTTCTTTTCCTTTGGTTTTTTCTTCTCGGCCAATTCCTTGCATATTGCCTCCTTGGCCTTTTCCTCATCTTTTTTCTTCTGTAATGCATCGTCAACTGATTTTTCAGGATCATCTTCTGAATTTTCCTTGGCGCACTCTTCTCTATCCTTCTGCTCCTTCCGCTTTTCGGCCTCTTTGCGGCATCTTTCGCGCTCAGCCAGCTGCTCGCACTTTTTCTTGGCCGCCGCGGCCTTAGCCCTTTGGGCCATGGCCTTGAGCTTCTTCTGGGCGGCCATGGCCTTTTGCCTATCCTCTTCGGCCATCTCAGCGCACTTTTTCCGGAGCGCGCCGATGTCTTCTGCGGGTATCTTATTTGCTTCTTCCTCGGCTTTTCGTTTGGCCTCCTCTTCCTCCTTCTTTCGATCCTCTTCCTCTTGCTTGGCAATCTCCGCGGCCTCGCGTGCGCACTGCTCCCGGTCCAGCTCCTCCTGACAGGCTCGCTTGATGGCCTCGATCTTGGCACGCTTCTCCCACTCCACTTTGTCAGCCATTTCTTGGCACTGCTTGGTGAGTTTTTCTAGCACCTCCTCCTCGGTTGGCGGCTTCTTTGGCTTCTTTTGTTTCTTTCCACCCTTATTGCCTTTCTCGCCCTTCTTGCCGCCCTTACCCTTCTCACCGCCTTTGCCCTTCGCGCCACCTTTGCCTTTTTTTCCGCCTTTGCCTTTTTTTCCGCTTTTGTCCTTTTCTCCGCCTTTGCCCTTTTCACCGTCATTGCCTTCTTCACCTTCTTCGCCCTCTTTGCTTTTCTTGCCCTTTTCGCCGTCTTTGCTTTTCTCGCCCTTTTCGCCGTCTTTGCCCTTTTTGCCCTTTTCGCCGTCTTTGCTTTTCTCGCCCTTTTCGCCGTCTTCTCCTTTCTCGCCCTTTTCGCCGTCTTCTCCTTTCTCACACTCTTCGCCTTCTTTGCCTTTCACGCTCTTCTCGCCGCCTTTTCTTTTTCGGGCTTCTCGCCGTCTTTGTCTTTCTGGGTCTTCTTGCCGTCTTCGCCTTTCTCGCTCTTCTCGCCGTCTTTGCCTTTCTCGCCCTTTTCACTGCCTTTGCCCTTCTTGCCGTCTTTGCCTTTCACTCCTTTCTCGCCTTTTTCACTCTTCTCGGCATCCTCATCCTCTTCGCCCTCTTCGTCCTCTTCGTCCTCCTCGCCCTCCTTGCCCTTCTTTTCTTTTTGATTTCTCCTCGTGACTCCTTGAGGCTTTTCAAGAACTTTTCCTCCTCAGCCTTTCTCTGGGCCGCTTCCGTCTCTGCAATCTTCTTACATTTGGCTTTTTGTGCAAGTCTCGCACATATTGCCTTTTCAGCCCTTTTTTGGCAACTTTTGCGTAATTCTTGGGTCTCTATCATCTTGGCCACCTTCGCGCACTCTGCCTCTATCTGCTCGATGTCAACATCGTCATCATCCTCTTCATCTTCTTTCTTTTCTTTGTCCTTGCAACTCTTGCCATTCTTTTCTTCCTCCCCTTCACCATTTTCTTCGTCCTTGCCACACTTGTCCTTTTTCTTACCCTGCTTCTCGCATTCGCCGCTCCCATCGCCATTGTCACCATCCTCCCCGTCTCCCTTTTTCCCACCGTCCTTGCCACTCTTCTTGCCCTTTTTCTTCTCGCAATCGCCGTTGTTCTCGCCATTGCTTTCGCCCATGCTGTCGCACCCATCTTGGCATCCGTCGACGTGCTTGGCGACTTCACGAAGAAATTCCCGGTTTTTAGATGACTCAAGGTCGGGGCATTCTCTCTCCAGGATTCTCCGCTTCAGCTGCAACTCGAGATCGCCCAGGGACGGGCACCGATACGACTGATCGATAAGTGGGGCGGTATCGGTACCTATTGAGAAAAAAGTTGAGAAATAAAAGTACAGATCTAGGTGCTTTTCGCTTAAATTAACTAAGAAGAGGTTGCATAATAAATAATTATTTTATATTGATAATAGATTTTTATGAATTTTAAATGTCTTTAGAAGTCCTTACTTTAAACGGATAACAATAGATAGAAGGACAAATTCAATGGGAATATTATTTTAGGACCAACTACAGATATTGGGTGATTGAAGGATGAAAATGTCACTTACCCATACATGAAATCCACTCGTTACGCAACTTAAGCAGAGTTTTCTGTGATTCCTGGTCCGATTTCTGAACAGTCTCCGGGTTCTCCTTGAGCTTGACTAGTCGGTAAGCCCGGATGCACCTGTAACAGTTGCAGGAACGAAAGCAGGCCCCCGGGTATTGGCTCAAAGCCAATGAGGCTCTTTTTAACATTTTAAATTTAATTTATATGCCGAAAATTTATACAGAGAATTTTAATACCAAACTACAAGGCTAACACAGTGTAAAGACAATACTGAGTCTAAATATGAATATGAATTTGACGTTTACATTACAGATGATGAGATCGAAAAAAGCATGTTTTTTTTTTTTTTTTTTTTTTTTAAACATATTTACCATTTAAGAATTGCAATGGAAGAGTAATTTTTTGTCTTATAAACCATGTATATTCTTAGATCCAAACATTAACATTAACATTATCATAATTCCAAGGAATCGTTTAGAATTTCCTTTGCTTTTGAAATACCCAGAGGAATCACCAAGGAAATACCCCGGATTTCTAATATAAATTCTGGTGATTTCAGATACCGAAAACACTCTCATTGTCGTTGTTGTCAATCTGGTGTAAAATTTCGACTATTTTAAATTGGTTTTCGAAATCCTTCTATATTTATCATTGTTTTTCTAAGCACAAACGTGATCATAACTTAGAAATTATAAAATCTACCATACTTAAAACATAAGAAATGGATTCCAACATGCACAATCTCAAGGATTTTCTTGCATTATACAACAAAGTGACAGAAATGTGCTTCAGCCGATGCGTCGATAATCTCAACAATCGCGCCCTGACCAGCCATGAGGACGTGTGCGTGGACAGGTGTGTCACAAAGTTCGCTCGCTTCAACCAGGTCATGATGGCCTTCTACGTGGATGTGCAGACAACTATGAATGCCAAGCGAATGGAGGAGATGAAAGAGAAAGCCAGGATAGCCGAACAGCAGCAAAGGAAGGAGAACCAACGGGAGGAGCCCAAGGTGAGAGAAGTGACTCCCCCAGTGGTGCTGATTCCAGCTCCGCCAACAGCTGCTGGCAACTTGTCCATTTAAGAGAAGACACTGTCCCTTTCCTCGATAGCAACTGGGCAATAGGAAGTCTCAGGCCCACGTCCTGGATATGCTGCTACTGAGGAGCATTAAGTCATTAAAAAAGAACGCAGGCCGATGCAGAACATAAATTTGTATGTGAGAAATAGTGTTTCTGGCTTTTACTAATAAAAGCAAAAAATATATATTTATTTTAGACTGCGTGCATGTGTATGTACGATAAATAAATTGAAATTAAAAATGTAACTATTTAATTCCTATGCTTACGCATAAGAGTTAATCGCCTATTGATAAAAATTCCACACTATAATTTTGTTTAAATATTTTTAATTTTCAGAATTTTAACCACTATATAAATTTTGCATAATAAAATGTATTATACCGGTTTAACTTTAATGTTGATCTATTTCTTGGATTTATCTCCGCCCTTTTTGCATTTTTCAGCCTTGGCTTTCTTTTTGCATTTTTCAGCCTCGGCCAACTTTTTGCATTTTTCTGCTTCGGACTTTTTTTTGCATTCTTCTTCCAGGGCCATCTTTTGCATTTCTCCTTCTGAGCCATAGCCTTGCACTTTTCCATCTCTTTCTTCATTGCATCTTCTTGGGCTAATTTCCTACATTTATCTTTCTCAGCTAAGTCCTTGCACTTCTGTGACATTACCCTTTTTTCTTTTTACCTTCTTTCTTGTCCTTTTTTTCTTTCTTGCAGGGATCCGTTTCAATTCCGGCCATTTTGGCGCACATTTCCTTATCAGCCAATTCCTGACACTTCTTTTCCTCTTCCTTCTTTTTCTTGTCGGCTTCTGCCTTTTTGGCCGCATCCGCGCATTTCTGCTTTAGTTCCATTTCAGCGCACTTTTTCTTTTCAGCAGCTTCTTTCTTCTTTTTGTCATCGCCCTTGCCGCCTTTGGACTTGCCCTTATCTTTGGCACCGGCGGACATGGTAATCTGCTTGGTTAGGCTTCCGAGATCGTCCTGGTTCTTCTTTTCCTCCTTTAACCAACGGTTCTGCTGAAGCTCCAGATCGTTTAGGAATCTGCGTTGCATAGGATTGACGAGATTGGCAGATTCTTGTCCCTGAACATGGATAATTCCGATGGAGCCATCTTCCAGTTTCTTCGGAGAATCAATGCGGCGTCCAAGGCGTTGGTCTTGGATGCCTAAACCAGCAATGGTATTATAACCGCATACACTGGGACGAGAGTAATACTCGCCTGCATTTTTGAAATTGGCCAAATGATGAGAACGAACCAAGAAGTTGGGACGCAAGATGTGGCTGGAAAGGCAGCCTTTTGTGCATCGTCCAAGAAATAAACCGGATTTTATAAACATTTTCTTAAGATAAACAATTACAACCAAAATTAAAAACAACAAAATTTGGAAAAAACAATTTTGAAGAGAATTTTGAACAAATTTTTCAGGAGGAACGAACGTGTGTTCGACCCTGAAACAATTGAATTCTGAATTGTAACAAATTGCTTGGGATCTGAAAAGTTTGCTGACATACGTGTCATGGCCTGTTGTGAATTAATTAAAAAAAAAAATAGGACTGGAACTAGAATCGAAAGCTATTCGCACATAGGATTCTAATCCATTGAGCGCAACACTTCTTATGGATCACATATGCATAGGTATTTCCAGGATTAAGGAAATAAAGGAAAAAGATTTTCAAAAATTTATAGTTTCTAAAATGATTTAATTTTACAAGTACTAAAATACAAGCTTTCAAAACATGTTCAGGAAAGATACACCTTTTACCAGCAAAATAAAGCACGAGGAAACTCTTGAATTCTGTTCTGATGAACAATATTGTTTCTTTCCGATCATATACAGCATAACTATTTTCCACATAAGGTAGACCGCACAAAAAATGTCAATAATTATTGCCCAAATAAAATTTAAAGAATTTATTATTTATTATTTACGTATAGAATTTGAACTTGAAGCGCATATTTAAGAAATTTGCAAGGCTTTAATGAAGTTTTTATCTTTAATTATCCGAAATTTGATTCATTATAAATTTAGGATAATATATATCATTTTATGTTCCGCTATAACAGAGTCATCTACTTCTTGGGCTTATCTCCTCCCTTTTTGGATTTCTCAGCATCGGCCATCTTTTTGCATTTCTCCTTCTCGGCCATCTCTTTGCACTTCTTTTCCTGTTCTTTCTTCTTCTTTTCCTCTGCTTTTTTCTTCTTTTCAGCTTCTTCCTTCTTTTTCGCTTCTGCAGCCATCTTGTTGCATTTCTCCTTCTCAGCCATTTCCTTGCACTTCTTAGCCGTTTCCTGTTCCTTCTTTTTCTTGTCGGCTTCTGCCTTTTTCTTCTCTTCTTCTGCCTTTTGGCCGCTTCCGCGCATTTCTTCTTTTGTTCCATTTCTGCACACTTTTTCTTTTCAGCTTCTTCTTTCTTCTTTTTATCGGCGTCCTTGCCGCCTTTGCACTTATCTCCGCCACCGGCGGACATGGTAATCTGCTTGGTCAGGCTGCCGACATCGTCCTGGTTTTTCTTTTCCTCCTTTAACCAACGGTTCTGCTGAAGCTCTAGATCGTTCAGGAATCTGCGTTGCATAGGATTGGCGAGGGTGGCAGACTCTTGTCCCTGGACATGGATAATTCCGACGGAGCCATCCTCCAGTTTCTTGGGAGAATCACTGCGGCGTCCAAGGCGTTGGTCTTGGATGCCTAAACCAGCAATGGTATCATAACCGAATGCACTGCGTTGACCAAAATACTCACCTGCATTCTTGAAATTGGCCAAATGATGAGAACGAACCAAGAAGTTGGGACGCACGACGTGGCTGCAAAGACAGTCCTTTGTGCGTCGTCCAAGAATTACAACCGATTGCTTAAACATTTTGTTCGGGAAAAAATTTGTTGTCCGAAAAGAAAGACAAAAATTTGGAAGAGAAAATGTTGAAGAAAAATTTTTGAAAGAAATTTTAACTAATAATTCAGGAGGAAAACGTGTGTTCAGCTCCGAGGGAAGTCGAATACTGATTTTAACAAACGATTCAATTGTACAAGTAAACTTTTATAGCCCGGATGGGGCAATATGGCAATGAAGGGTATTTCAATTTTAGTCACAAGTTTGCCATGAAATGAACTTCAGTTCCAACCAAATTAGGATCAAAGCCAACTTGATCGAGTCATAACTATATATCTGTCCGTTTGTCCGTTTCTAAGCAGTCTCAGTCTTTCAGCCATCTAAATAAATTATTTGCAAATAGTCTTCTTTATATTATATATGCTATATATTAACTTATTAACTTATTATATTAACTTATTATTATATATGCTATATATTAACTTACTTGAAGATAAGTTAATTTCTGTGGTTTAAGTTTTTTCAAAATTGAAATACTTTATAATATATCTGCGATCCGTTAATGTATAAGAATATGTAAAGGTTTAATTGTTAAACTATTAGTAAAAAATAAATGTAAATGTAATAAAAATTTTAATTGATTTTTACAATCAGTAAATATTAATAAATATTTTAAATTAATAAACAACAACAAAATTGTTCGTGAGTTTAGGGTATTTTTACTTTTGTAAAAATTATTTGATTTATTCAAAAAGTTATCATATAAAGTAATCATAATATTTTACATATTTTTGAGGGCCAAATTCATTTTGGGATTTGTCATTAAAATCCTAATAAATTAATAACGAAATATTAAAATATTTTTTTTTATATTTTCGAAATAACTAAGCTAACTTCTTTACGCCGAAGGTTATATACCCTTGCAGATTGAACTTCGATCATCAGGAATTAATACAATATAAATTATAAATATATATTGTAAAATCATAATAAAATAGTGCCTAATTGCATTTCATTCACCTATATTGCATATTATATACATATATATTTAGAGTTTTATAGTCGGAGTTTTTTATATTTTCTTGTATATCTGATGATCGTTTGTATAGCAGCTATATGATATAGTCGTTCTATTTTTATAATAATAAAACCGAAGTACTAGAATAATACAAAATGACTATATCTACAATTATATAAAATCTGTTGAAAACTGAAAAAGTTATAATTTGTAATTGTATTATTTTCTCGATCGTTTCTATGGCAGCTGTATGATATAGTCGTCCGATCCTGCCCGTTCCGACATATATACTACTTGGTCGGAGATGACTCCTTCACTTTGCAAACTTCTGACTGAAATTATAATACCCTTCAAGGATATAATAAAGTTTGTAGATTTATAAATCTAACAAATACCAAGATTATTTATTATTTAGGTTTTGTTTATAGATTAGTTGCAAAACTATTTTTCCAACTTTATCCATTTTTAGTAATGGAGAATTCAATCAAAATTTTTTAAAACTCGACAAGGCCACCTCACATATACATATAAGATCCTTTGGATCTTTTAAATTCTGAATAATCTGATAAACCTATCTAAGGGGAGAGGGACTATAAGAAATTAAAACCATAAATTATGTAATATAACTTTAAGATAATCTTTTATTCTTCTTCATCTCCATCATTCTTGGATTTATCTTCGCCCTTTTTGCTTTCCTCTGAGCCCTTGCATTTAGCTTCTTCTTTCTTCTTTGCTTCCTTTTCGGCCAATTTTGCGCATTCCTCCTTTTCCTCCAATTTCTTACACCGCTCTTCTCTTTTCTTCTTTTCCTCTTCCGCTTTCTTCCTTTCCGCTTCTTTCTTCTTTGCTTCCTTTTCCTTCAATTTCTTACACATCTCTTCTTTTTCTTCTTTTCCTCTTTCTTTTTCTTCCTTTCCTCTTCTTTCTTCTCTGCTTCCTCTTCGGCCAATTTTGCACATAGCTTCTTTTCCGCCAATTTCTCACACAGCTCTTCTTGTTTCTTCTCTTCCTCTATCTTTTTCTTCCTTTCCGCTTCTTTCTTTTTCGCTTCTTTTTCGGCCATTTTGGCGCACATCTGCTTATCCGCCAATGCCTCACACTGCTTTTTCAATTCTTTTTTCTTATTTTCCTCTTCCTCTTTCTTCCTTTCCGCCTCTTTCTTTTTGCATCTTCTTTGGCCATTTTGGCGCACATTTTCCGATTCGCCAATTCCTGACACTGCTTTTGCATTTCTTTCCTCTTCTCTTCCTCTTTCCTTTCCGCTTCTTTCCTTTTTGCTTCTTCGGCCATTTCTTTGCACTTCTTTTTCATTTCTTTCTTTTCCTTTTCCTCTTTTTTCTTTCTGGCTGCTTCCTTGCGTTTCTCCCTTGCGGCCAATTTTACGCAGTCTTTCTTCAGTTGATCGTTAGCGCATTTATCCTTGGCTGCCAATTCGACGCATTTCCATTTCAGTTTGACCCTTTCGGCTTTTTTCTTTCGCTCCATTTCTTTGCACATCTTTTCCTTATCTGCGTCACTACTCCCATTAGACATGGTAATACGTTTTCCGAGATCGTCCTGGTTCTTCTTTTCCTCCTTTAACAAGCGAGTCTGCTGAAGCTTCAGATCGTTCAGGAATCTGCGTTGCATCGGATTGACGAGATTGGCAGACTCTTGTCCCTGGACATAGATTACTCCGACGACACCATCCTCCAGTGTTTTGCCTTTTGAATGATCTTGAGTTCCTAAGCCAGAAAACATATTGAAAGCTTATACACATGGTTGAGAATAATACTCACCTTCATTTTTGAAATTGGCCACATGATGCGAACGAACCAAAAAGTTGGGACGCATGACGCGGCTGCGAAAACAGTCTCTCGTGCATTGTCCAAAAACAACAGCGGATTTTTTAAACATTTTCCCCAAATAACAATTAAAAACAAAATTTAGAAAAAAGAAATTAAAAAAAAATTTTGAACAAATTGTTCAGGAGGAACGATCTTGTGTTCAACCCCGAAACAATCGAATTTTGAATTATACTAAACTACTCTTGATTTTATAAGTTAACTGACTTAAGTGTCATGGTCTGTTGTGATTTAAATAGGACTAGGTCCATATTTCCTTTATTGAACAATCAACAAGGCAGAAACGAAACATGTTCGCATTTAGGATTGATATCCACACTTCCTATTGACTTCTTCGATCACATATAGGTATTTCAAGATAAATAAAGGTAAAAGATATGACAAAAATTATAATTTTCTAAAATGTCGGAAACGACTCCTTCAGTGCGTTGCAAGCTTCTGACTACAAATGTAATACCCCAATAACGTAGCAAAAGTTAGTGTTGAAGCCAGGGTCAGTTTTGAAGCTACCCTAAGAGTAATATTAATATTCGTGAATAATTTATATTGAGGTTAAGCTTTTAATTTTTAAAATAATACAAATTGATGTATCATTCTTAATTAATATTAAGCAATGGGGTCCTTGGCAATGAAGTAATTAAGTGCATAGCTAGCACAGCTGATTCTAAATAAGATCAGGCCCTCTATAGCATCTATACACATGATATAATTATTATAGTTAAGACTTACCGCAGTAGACACACGGTTATGCTTTTTAGTGATCTTTTTCCTAATTATCCTGATGTAGGGAATCGCAATCAATATCACTATCACTTCACTTTGACTACATGTAATCAGTAAGAAGGCCACGTACACACTGAGGTACCTGCTACGGCTGAGCCTCTATTTATAGTTGCCGAGTAAAGAGAACAGAGCAAGTGGGAGCGAGAGCGAGAGCAAGGGAGAAAGAGATAACTCTAGAGAAAGGCAGAGAGAGTAAAGCGAAAGTGTTATCTGGACAGATACTTAGAGAGATCTAGACATACCGAAAGGAAAAGATACAGAGCATATTATTGTTCGATCTGGTCTGATCCGATCAAGAATATATATACTTTTGAAAACGAATTATTGATTGATTGATACGACTTTAAAATAGTATTATTCAAATTTCATTAACAAATTAATTATTATCATATGGTTATGATATGAATAAATTTCGTATAAAAAACTAACAGCTTGTCTTTGGAGCTGACTTATTAATATTCTTAGAATTGATGCATTTTTTTTTATTCTCAATTTATTTTCCTAATTAATTCCTAACATAAAAATTTGACACCTACCACAGCTATGACTCACGACATCTTTTTGGTTTCCAGCTCGAAATTTGGAGCCCAGTTCTATTTTTTTTTTTTTAATATAATCCTAAAATGCCATGACCCTCCTGTCATTCAACTTCTAGGTCCAGGCGAGCAGGTTTCTAAAAGTTCAGTATTCAACTGCTTTCAGCACTGAAAACATCTAACGTTCCAAATTATTACTTCCAAGGCCTCTTCTAAATTTCTAATTTTAAATTTTTCTTACTTTTCTTGAGTTTTGGAAACAAATTTATCTAAACAAAATGTTTAAGCAATCCGCTCTTGTTTTTGGACGATGCGCTCAGGACTGCCTTCGTACCCGAGTCATGCGTCCCCGCTTCTTGGTTCGTTCTCACCATTTGGCCAATTTCAAGAATGCAGGTGAGTATTTTGGTCAACGCAGTGCATTCGGTTATGATACCATTGCCGGTGTAGGCATCCAAGACCAACGCCTTGGACGCCGCAATGATTCTCCCAAGAAACTGGAGGATGGCTCCGTCGGTGTTATCCATGTCCAGGGACAAGAGTCTGCCACCCTCGCCAATCCTATGCAACGCAGATTCCTGAACGATCTGGAGCTTCAGCAGAACCGTTGGTTAAAGGAGGAAAAGAAGAACCAGGACGATGTCGGCAGCCTGACCAAGCAGATTACCATGTCCGCCGGTGGCGGAGATAAGTGCAAAGGCGGCAAGGACGCCGATAAAAAGAAGAAAGAAGAAGCTGAAAAGAAAAAGTGTGCAGAAATGGAACAAAAGAAGAAGTGCGCGGAAGCGGCCAAAAAGGCAGAAGAAGAGAAGAAAAAGGCAGAAGCCGACAAGAAAAAGAAGGAACAGGAACAGGCTAAGAAGTGCAAGGAAATGGCTGAGAAGGAGAAATGCAACAAGATGGCCGCAGATGCAAAAAAGAAAGAAGCTGAAAAGAAGAAGAAAGAACAGGCTAAGAAGTGCAAAGAGATGGCCGAGAAGGAGAAATGCAAAAAGCTGGCTGAGGCTGAGAAATGCAAAAAGGGAGGTGATAAGTCCAAGAAGTAGATGACCCTTTTCAGCGGAATATAAAATTATATATCATCCAAAATTTATAATGAATTGAATTTCGGACAATTAAAAATTCTAATTATAATTAATCTGTGAAATTTTAATAAATTGGCGATCATAAATAAAATTCTATATGCATATAAATAACAAATAAATAGATATTTAAATAAAAATACAATTTTTTTTTTTTGTAATTAAGCCGGATATGAGTGTTTAGAAACAGTTTTACAGTTCCCTTGCTATTTTTTCTCAATATTTTACATCCGACCAGATTTCAAGGAAGCTTTCTGATGCTTTCTTTTTAGTTGGTAAAATTCCTTCCCTGGACAACTATTCTTCCCAGAACTGAATGAATCAGGAGTAAAGTCAATTTTAAAATATGTATTTATATTGGCAAACTAAAAATAAACCTTAAATAAATAACAATGGGTTTCTTAAAATTTGGCCATTAGTATATTTGGAAAAAATAGATTTTCAATTCCGCTTTTACTTGAATAGATCTTGCACATCTCTTGGAGACTTCTTCAGCGACAACTTTTTCACATTCACTTTTCCATATCTTCTTCATCCTTTGTTTTTTTTTCCCATATTTTTCATTTTGTTTGTCAGTTTATTTTTTCGGCCAATCGATTTTTTGCGACATATTTACGATTCTTATATATTTGGGGATTATTCATTCATTTATATTAAGTTTTAATCTATTGCATTAGACTGTAATCAAATTACATTTATTTTCTTGGTCTTTCTTGTATTTTTCTAAAATATTTTTCAATTTTTTTTCGGCCTTGCCTTGCTTTATATAATTTTCATTGTTAAGCTTCTTTTCAGATTCTTTAAATTATAAAAATTGCATTTACCTGGCTTTGTTTTTGCCGTTTTTATTATTGCCAGATTTCTTTTTCGCATCGGCCAACTTTTTACACTTCGCCTTCATTGCGATCTGCTTGCACCTTATAATCATTTTTATCTTTTTCTCTGTTTCTGCTAATTCTTGGCATTTTTCTTTCTCCTCTAATTCCTTAGACTTTTTTTCAGTTCTTCTTTTCCCTTTCCTTCTTTCTTGTTCCCTGTCTTGCCCATTTCTTTATCTTTATCATTTTTTCTTTGCCCGAATCTTTCTTGTCTCCGTCCTTGCCCGAATCTTTCTTCTTATCTCCTTTTTTGCCGGAATCTTTCTTGGCCTTCTCGTCTTTGGCCATCTTGTCGCATTTTTCCTTTTGTGCCAATTCATCGCACTTTTTCTTAGCTTCGGCTTCTTTCTTGGCAGCATCTTCTTTCTTGCTGGCCTTTTTGTTTTTCCCTTCCTTGCCTGAATCTTTATCATTTTCTTCTTTGCCTGAATCTTTAACGTCTCCTTCCTTGCCCGAATCTTTCTTGTCTCCTTTTTTGCCGGAATCTTTCTTGGCCTTCTCCGCTTTGGCCATCTTGTCGCATTTTTCCTTTAAGGCTATTTCTTCACACTTTTTCTTTGCTTCGGCTTCTTTCTTGGCAGCATCTTCTTTGTTGCCGGCACCCTTTTTCTTGCCACCTTCCTTGCCTGAATCTTTACCGTCTACTTCCTTACCCGAATCTTTCTTGCTTCCTTTACCCGAATCTTTCTTGTCTCCATCTTTACCCGAATCTTTCTTCTTGTCTCCTTTCTTCCCTGAATCTTTCTTGGCCTTCTCCTCTTTGGCCATCTTGTCGCATTTTTCCATTAAGGCTATTTCTTCACACTTTTTCTTTGCTTCGGCTTCTTTCTTGGCAGCATCTTCTTTGTTGCCAGCACCCTTTTTCTTGCCACCTTCCTTCCCTGAATCTTTACCGTCTCCTTCCTTGCCTGAATCTTTCTTGTCTCCTTTGCCAGAATCTTTCTTGTCTCCTTTTCCCGAATCTTTCTTGTCTCCTTTCTTCCCTGAATCTTTTTAGCCTTCTCTTCTTTTGCCATCTTGTCGCACTTTTCCTTTAAGGCTATTTCTTCACACTTTTTCTTTGCTTCGGCTTCTTTCTTGGCAGCGTCTTCTTTGTTGCCGGCACCCTTTTTATTGCCTCCTTCCGTGCCTGAATCTTTACCGTCTACTTCCTTACCCGAATCTTTCTTGCCTCCTTTACCCGAATCTTTCTTGTCTCCATCTTTAGCCGAATCTTTCTTCTTGTCTCCTTTCTTCCCTGAATCTTTCTTGGCCTTCTCCTCTTTGGCCATCTTGTCACATTTTTCCATTAAGGCAATTTCTTCACATTTTTTCTTAGCTTCGGCTTCTTTCTTGGCAGCATCTTTCTTGGCCGCATCTTTCTTGGCGGCGCCTTTCTTGCCTCCTTCTTTACCTGAATCTTTCTTGTCTTCTTCTTTTCCCGAATCTTTCTTGTCTCCTTTTTTCCCTGAATCTTTTTAGCCTTCTCCTCTTTTGCCATCTTGTCGCACTTTTCCTTTAAGGCTATTTCTTCACATTTTTTCTTAGCTTCGGCTTCTTTCTTGGCAGCATCTTCTTTCTTGCCGGTACCCTCTTTTTTGCCTCCTTTGCCTGAATCTTTATCGTCTCCATCTTTACCCGAATCTTTCTTGTCTCCTTTGCCCGAATCTTTCTTGCCTTCTTTTTTGCCCGAATTTTTCTTGTCTCCTTTCTTACCGGAATCTTTCTTAGCCTTCTCCTCTTTTGCCATCTGGTCGCATTTTTCCTTTAAGGCTATTTCTTCACACTTTTTCTTTGCTTCGGCTTCTTTCTTGGCAGCATCTTCTTTGTTGCCAGCACCCTTTTTCTTGCCACCTTCCTTCTCTGAATCTTTACCGTCTCCTTTCTTGCCTGAATCTTTCTTGTCTCCTTCTTTGCCAGAATCTTTCTTGTCTCCTTTTCCCGAATCTTTCTTGTCTCCTTTCTTCCCTGAATCTTTCTTAGCCTTCTCGTCTTTGGCCATCTTGTCGCATTTTTCCATTAAGGCCATTTCTTCACACTTTTTCTTTGCTTCGGCTTCTTTCTTGGCAGCATCTTCTTTGTTGCCGGCACCCTTTTTCTTGCCTCCTTCCGTGCCTGAATCTTTACCGTCCCCTTTGCCCGAACCTTTCTTGTCTCCTTTGCCAGAATCTTTCTTGTCTCCTTTACTCGAATCTTTCTTGTCTCCTTTCTTTCCTGAATCTTTCTTAGCCTTCTCCTCTTTTGCCATCTGGTCGCATTTTTCTTTTAAGGCTATTTCTTCACACTTTTTCTTTGCTTCGGCTTCTTTCTTGGCAGCATCTTCTTTCTTGCCGGCACCCTTTTTCTTGCCTCCTTTGCCTGAATCTTTACCCGAATCTTTCTTGTCTCCACCTTTGCCCGAATCTTTTTGTCTCCTTTGCCCGAACCTTTCTTGTCTCCATCCTTGCCCGAATCTTTCTTCTTGTCTCCTTTTTTGCCGGAATCCTTCTTGGCCTTCTCCTCTTTGGCCATCTTGTCACATTTTTCCTGTAAGGCCATTTCTTCACACTTTTTCTTAGCTTCGGCTTCTTTCTTGGCAGCATCTTTTTCTTGGCAGCATCTTCTTTCTTGGCCTTCTCTTCTTTGGCCATCTTCGCACATTTATCCTTTAAGGCTATTTCTTCACACTTATTCTTTGCTTCGGCTTCTTTCTTGGCCGCATCTTTCTCGCCGGCACCTTTTTTGTTTTCTCCTGTGCCTGAATCTTTACCTTTTCCATCTTCGCCTGAATCTTTCTTCTTGTCTCCGTCCTTGCCCGAATCTTTCTTCTTGTCTCCTTTTTGCCGGAATCTTTCTTGGCCTTCTCATCTTTGGCCATCTTGTCGCATTTTTCCTTCTGTGCCATTTCATCGCACTTTTTCTTTGCTTCGGCCTCTTTCTTGGCCGCATCTTCTTTTTTGCCGGCACCCTTTTTCATGCCTCCTTCCTTGCCTGAACCTTTCTCGCTCGAATTCTTTTTTTTTCCCGAACCTTCCTTATTGCAAGAATCCTTACCGGATTTATTCCCTCCTGCAGACATGGTTACCTGATTGGTTAGAGTTTCAAGTTCCTCCAGATCCATCTCGTCCTTTAACCAACGAGTCTCCCAGTTTCTTTGTGCCTGTTGAAGCTCCAGATCGTTGAGGTATCTGCGTTCCATCGGATTGATCAGGTCTGCACATTCCTCGTCCTGGACACAGATTTCTCCGATGGAGCTATTCTCCACAGTCGGTTGATCATCGCAAGGGATGGCTACACCAGCAATGGAATCATTATAATGTACATAGGATTACGAGAAATACCAACCTGTATTTCTCAAGTTAGGCAGAGCCTTTAGGTATTCCTGCTTGGATTCCAAGTTACCAGCGAATTTCTCCTGGAGGATGGCCAAATGGTGCCATCGCAGCAGGGAGTTGGGATACATGCAGCGACTGCGAATGCAGTCCCGTGTGCACTTGCCGAGAATTACTGCGGTTTTCTTAAACATTTTGCCACGATAAAATTTTTTTGTTGTCCTAAATTAAAAACTGAAATTTGGAACTGGAAATTTCGAAGGGAATTTGGAAGAAAGAATTCAGGAGGTAGGTGTGTGTTCAACCACCAATGCGATCGAACACTGAATTCTAACAGATGTATCCGTCAAGTCATTGAAAGTTGGCTGACATAATTGTCATGGCTGGTTGTGATTTCATTTAAAAATAAAACAGGCCCCGAATTTTGATTATGGAAGTTAAACAGAAAATCCGAAAAACCAAGGCATCCTTGTAGTATAAGTAACATATTAAATGATATGTTATCTAACGTCCCTTAATAGGAATTTATTAAGAAAATAAATTTAAAAAATAATAATAAAAAACGAAATGAATTAAAAATAGTGAGTAAAACATAAGGGGTTCGCATTTCCCCTAGGTTGAGTAGGTTTACTTCTTGAGCATCTGAATATCAGGATTTTTACGAAAATAAACCTAGATGGTTATGTTTCTGTAAGCTTATCCTGAGAACCGATTTTATTTTGATACAGCCGACATCTTAGTACCAAGAACCGGAATAAAATTTTCGATTCCCCTCTCAGATTCCCCTCTCAGTTCTAAACATACGTCAGGTGTTTAAGATATTCTAAACCATAAGTGCAAAAAGTAAATGATTGGTACGATAGCTCACACGTACGATTTTCTTACACTGCACAAAAAAAGTTTTAAAGATTTCGAAACAACTTTATTGACCTCCGAGAATTCCTATTTTAAATTTATATTGAATTGACTATATATGTACATAGAAAAATATTGAAATAAATTCAAAGGATAATATCACAGAGACCAACAAAAAAATGTATCAATTTTAAGGATAGATAAAAATACGGTGCAAAGGATTTATATATTTCCTTCTAGTTATTTTGTTTGACCAATATGGATAAATTCTAATTATCCTATTGATACAAACTGCAAGGGAATAAACAAATTTAACACACCAAAGTTATCTTAGTTCCTTTTTACTTTTTAAGGTTCAAAATATATATTAAAAAGATAAGCTAAAAGTGACGATCGCACATTCGACTCCAAAAATGTGTGATATAAATATTGTAATGGAAATTAAAATAATAAATATATAATATAATATAATATATATATTCTAAAATTTTCATAATGTAAACATTGGATTATATAATAGTAATACATATATTATATTTTATAATTATATATAAAATAAATAGCTGCTAAATCGGTTTATTTTCTTCAGAATATATATGGAATACTCATTGAGATTATTATTATTTATTACTGCAGTTTCAGGACTTAAGGTAAAATGAATAAATTCCTTTTTCCTTAAAGGCCTCGAGAAAATATTTGTCTTTCTAATAATAAAACTTAGATTTATTTAAAAGAAAAAATACACCAAATAATTACTGGTTTTAGAATTAATCATTTTATTACGGTAAAATAAGAATTTTTAGCATTCTTAAAAGAACAAAATATTGTAGGCATTCAAAATCAGGAACAATTTAGGCAACTAGGTACCATCGATCAGAGTTTTTCGGTGGTATCATATCGAACGCATTATTAATTCCATTCCAGTGTCCAGTTGGTGGAGGATAGAGTGTAGACCAGTCCATATCTTACTGAAGCGCCAGACTGCTATTTCGTATAGCTCTTCGGGGAACCTGAAAATATAGAGAGCTGCGAGATCCATTGGTTAGAGATTCCGGTCTTGACCTACAAACAACCTAATGTCGCCCTAGTCAGTGTTTTATTAATATTTATTTTAGAACAAACTGTGTGTTGTGGTATAGGCGCTAGAATTATACTATCAAAGTAAAGCCGACGCTGATTTGTGACACCTTATCAGAGCCTCGGGGTGGTATAAAATTTTAATTGACGCTGAATAATTCCACACATTTTTATTTTTACTATGTCGCGCGAAATGGAGCTAATCTATAGACTATACTAGACTAGCTGGGCTTCAATCACCTCGATATGACATTCAAACAGGTCTCTGATAATAGCACAATGTGAATTTCCATTCTGTTTTGCACCCAAAACTTAGCTAACGAAATGGGTTCACTATGATTGGGCACTATGACTATTGAATGTGGAGTATGAAAAACATATACTTTACATATTTTAGCTTAGATTGGTACAGGGATAATCTTCTATGAAATATAAAATAAGAATGAAACTAAGCGTCATATATCTAATGAAATATTGATATAAAAGAGTATATAATAATGGTTCTGTTGAAACTTTAAGCAGTGGAAAGTACGTCTAGTGGGTTCAGTTCAGTCACCCGTATATAATGTCCAGGCAAAACTTACACGGAGCTGACTGCAAAATTGCGATATGCTAAAGTGATCCCTTTCACAGTCTTCATCATCAGTTTTCTTAGTTAGCTCCTTAAGATGCTTCATTTTCTTGGCACACTCCTCAGATCCGCCAAGGATTGTGATCTTCTTGCTGTTCTGCTTCTCTTTCATAAGCTCGCGTGGCGATTTTTTCGGCGATAAGCAAGAGGGGGAGCCACCCTTAATTTCCGTAAGATCCTCTGTTTTCTTGGCAAAGAGCATCACATCCGCTTCCTGCAGGATCACCTCATGGTTGGGCTGAAGCTCTTGATTCTCCCCCAAATTCAAGGTTTGTACAGGACTTTCCTGCCTAAAGTCCTTCGCTTCACTTGGGAAGCAACTTGGCGGAATTTCGACAGTACAGCTGGAGCTTAATTGTCGTCGAACCGTGTAGGTGGACATTTGACGCTTGCCATCATTCTTACCCCGGCCGCCCAGGATCTTCTCAAAAAGTTTCTGAATGAGACTCTTCTCTCCTGGCGGTCGTGAATCCGACCCTAAACCAGGAATTTTCTCCGCTGACAATGGCATCTTCTCCGCTGGCGACGGCTTCTTGGCCGGTGACGGCGGCATCTTTGCCGCTGACGTCGGCTTATCAGTCGCTGGAGACAGCATCTCCTTCGCTGGAGATGGCACCTCCCTCGCTGGAATCTCAGCCGAATCTTTGTCTAGCAACTTCATGGCCAGCTCGCCTTGTTCCAATTGTGGTTTTTCCTTCTTCGCTGGCTTTTCCTTGGTTTTGCTTTCCTCCCTTGATGGGGGTGTCGGCACCGTTCTGTGATCCTTTTTGACATCTGAACCTTCTGGATCGGGATTCATGTCTTCGCTTTCCTCCAGCTCAGCCGCTTGCAGTGGTACAGGAGATGGTACCTCTTCGGATAATGGATCGTACAGATCATTAGGTAACAATGATGTGGTTTCTGTCTGGCTTTTGTCACTCTGTTCGGTATCTTGCAGAATACTATTGATTTCATCGGTAGAGGACATATTCTCTTGATCTATTTCTCTTGATTCTATTTCGCTAGAATCTGATTCATTGGAAGCTTTAACAAAGGACGAAGCCGTTTCGGCTAAATTTAAATTTGTTGATTCAAATGTCATATCCGTTTTGCTATCCTCCATATCAACTGAGCTGCTAATAATTGGATGCTTTTGTTCAGCATTGATTGATTCCTCAAAATCCATTATTTCTGAGAAATAATCATCGGCTTCTTTTTCCGCTCGGATTTGATCAAGCTTTTCATCATTATTTGGAGCTTCGTCCTTGTTGAGAGATCCCGATCCAGACGTGCCCAGGACATCTGCTTGACTCATCTCTGTGAAGTAATCGTCGGGTTTTTTTTCCGCACGGATTTGATCAAGCTTATCATCATCTTTTGGGGCAGCATCTTCGTTGTTCAGAGATCCCGATGCAGACGTGCCCAGGACATCTGCTTGACTCATCTCTGTGAAGTAATCGTCGGCTTTTTTTTCCGCACGGATTTGATCAAGCTTATCATCATCTTTTGGGGTACCATCGTCCTTGTTGAGAGATCCCGATCCAGACGTGCCCAGGACATCTGCTTGACTCATCTCTGTGAAGTAATCGTCGGCTTTTTTTTCCGCTCGAATTTGATCAAGCTTATCATCATCTTTTGGGGTAGCATCGTCCTTGTTGAGAGATCCCGATCCAGACGTGCCCAGGACATCTGCTTGACTCATCTCTGTGAAGTAATCGTCGGCTTTTTTTTCCGCTCGAATTTGATCAAACTTTTCATCATTATTTGGGGCATCATCATCAGCGTTAAGAGACATACTCTTTATGGATTCAGACATAGTCCTGCCATCTAAGTTTTCGTCATCTTCCGCCCTTTTAAGATAATCACTGTAATCGTCCTCAAACATTGCAACGATTTCCTCGGTGGTTTTGCTGGAAGGCTTCTCTTGGTCTTTGTCTAGCAAATCTATGGATGATTGGAGTTTGTTGTCATCATCTGCCTTCGAGTCGGATTTAAAGTCAAACGATGAGGAGATCTCTTCAGTGCTTTTTTGAGAGTCGTCAGTAGAAGATCCCGTAATTTCGGCTTCTGACTTTCCTACTGCAGCTGGCTGGCTGAGGATAAGCTGTACGGGCGTTTGAGAGGCTGCTGAGGTATCCTTATCAGAGTCCGGTAAATCTTTCTTCGATTCCTTAAACTCTGTGGGTGCATCAGGGTTGCCAATTATTTTCAGTGGCAATGTTCCTTCAGGGTCGAAAGACAAAGTCGGTTTAGGGGACGGTGATATGGGCCCTGCAATGTCCTTATTCTTGAGAACCGTGACACTATCTTTTTTCTCTATAGGCATCATAGGTTTTGCATCCTTTTTATCCTTGCTTGATTGATTCACCGCCTCTTGATTTACTGGGAAGGTGCCACCAGGGCTAGTTTTAGATACAACTGGATTAGAGGGGGCTGATTCTTTTCCTGCAGCATCTTTCTTCTCAATATGACTATGCTTACGCTTTTCTTCCTTTTTATAACTAGGGGGTTTAGGCTTTAAATCTATGTCTAGTGGATAGTCACCTTCATGGCTACTTCTACTATTTGCCAATGAGAGAGGATCAAAGGGGGTTGATACTTTTTCTACAGTATCTTTGCTCTTAAAATCAGTCTTATTATCTTTATTTACTTTTGGGATCTCAGGATTTGTATCCTTTTTATCGTTTGGAGCTTTAAGTTTTGCCTCTATTTTCAATGGCAGGGTAGCTCCCGGCTGACTCTTATTAATTGTAGACGAAATAGCTTCTACAGCATCCTTTTTCTTGAAAACAGCCTCATTATCTTTAATCAGTATATTCTGCATGGGCTTTTCCTTCTTTTCATCTCTAATACTCTTATCAGTTTTGTTTCCGAAAACCCACTTATTATCTTTCATTACCATATTGTGCAAACGATTTTTATCCTTTTCAAATTGGAGGCTACTCTTTTCAGCTGTGGAAGTTTTAACTTCTGCGGTATCCTTTTTCTTGAAAACCGACTCATTTATTACTATAGTCTGCATAGGCATTTCATTCTTTTGATCATTGGGACTACTCTTAGCAGTTTTGAAAGAACTAGGTTCGGCGGCATTCTTGTTTCCAAAAACCCACTTGTTATCTTTCATCACCATATTCTGCAATCGATTTCTATCGTTGTCATCTTTGGAAACTGAAGAATTTTTTACATCGCTTGAGGCACGAACTTGATTTTCGTTGTTCAGTCCGAAAGCAGCATTTTCCGCCATATATAAACGCTTGAATTTGTCGACCCATTGATCAATTACCGCATTATCCACAACATTTTCTTTGATTGTATCTGCTTTTGAAGGCCTTTTTTGCTCCTTATCCGTTCCAAAAACATGACCAAATTCACTGCCATAACCGTCATTGGCCTTGCTGTAGATTGTCAGGTCGACCTTAGCTTCTTGCTCAGCGATCTTGCCTTCCCCAGGAAAACCAAAACTAGAGGCCTGAGACCACCCAGAATCGACTGCCGTTGTTTCTGTCCAAGAGCTTTGTTCTGAGATGTCTGCCGAAGGGCTAGATTGTAAATTCGATTTCCTTTCCTCCGGTTTAACCTTAAGGTCCAAAGACGCAACTGATCCAGGTGCCATATACTTGCGCTTGGAATCATCTCCACTGGCTTCGGGTATGGGTGAAATCTGAGGCTCTATATCTAACCTGGTTTCCGTATTAGGGTCGTTTGGTTCAACAGAAGAGTCATGGGATGTCAGCTTTGATGTGACTATAGAAGGCGCTTGATATCTGGAATTTGTATATTCATTTACGGCCATCGACGGATAGTTCAGATCACATTCAATGGAAATGAAAGGAGAATCAATAGACTCATCTAATCCAGTCGTTGTTGAAGATGGGGTTTGGTCATCCATTAAGTTGACTACTGGCGGGGGTATTAACTCATTTGATGAGGAATCGTACGATTTTGCTTCAGATTCTGTTGGAAACGGGGCTAAAGACTTGAGGAACCTAACAAAATTTCCCAGAAATTCTTACCTATGCTGGGGTCTACAACACTTGTCGCCTCATAGTCAAAAGTCTCAGAGTCTGAGGTGCAAATGATAGGGTGCGGATTGGGCGGCTTTATCTCCAAGGGCGCGGGTTGAATGCGATTCGGCTGAACCTCCATGGGTATCTCCGGTCTAACCTCAAAAGGCAACTCTGTTCGCTTCTCCGCAGGTTTATCCTTAGGATCGGGAGGTGAAGCTGTCGCCTCCGTACCGTCAGAGTTCTTGCCCAACTGACCCTGACCCAGCTGAATGGTCTTCATCGGAGGCAGTTGATCTTTACCATTCTTATCGCCGGGACCATCGGAGCTAATGTGCCTCCAGCCCTGATGCTGCAATATGGTCAGCGGTGGACACATTACGTAGGGACTTTGGTTTACGCGCAGGAAACGAAGACAGTAGGTTGCCCGACGACAGGCCGCGATACTTTCGAGTACGATGCCAGCCATCTTAGCTCTGCTGTGACGAGGAGGAGCCCGCGAAACAATAAATTTGGTTTATTGGTGAAACTGTCAGTCGAAAAATTTAGATTTTGAGCATGGCCAAGACTGTAGTCCGTTGATTAGTGCTGGGAAGTTAACTAAGTTTTCGAGACAATATATATTTGTTAAGGGGGGGGGGGAATTCAAAATTTAACAGGATTGTTGGTGTTCCTGGGCTGCACATGGATCATCACCTTGATGGCGCCACCCAGTCCCTTTCGCGATGTTTCAAAGGCCTTGTCCGTATCCTTGATGTCAAAGTGATGGGTAACCAGTCGCTTTACATTCACTTTTCCAGAGGCCACCAAGGCAAGGGCAGAAGCGTAGCTATGAGGATAATATTATTATTTTATTATTATTCATTTAAAATAAATATTTCCTTCCTTACTCATTGCAGTAGCGGAATACTCCGCGAACATCAACTTCGCGGGCCAGGGCATTAATCAGAGGTATCTTGACTTCAGCGGCTCCCATGCCCACCACCACCACAACTCCACCGGAACGCGTGGCCTTTAAGGAGTTTACAAAGTTAATTGATCAGTTCGAGGGTTCCCTAGAGATTCACTCACAAAGATGGCCAATCGGGCACTGCTCTCTGCACCACAGCAATCGATCGACTTGTCTGGCTCACTGCTCATAGTCTTGTGGACAAGCTTGGCTGTCTCCTCAGCGGTTTGGTCACGTTTCAGCAGGAGTGTGTGGGTGGCACCCAGCTCCTTGGCCACATCCAAGCGCTGCTGAAGCAGGTCTGTAATCAGAATCTCAGAGGCACCCATGGATTGTGCGGCCTACAAAAAAAGTATTATTATTATCTATTATGAAGTATGATTATGATAACTCACCAGCAGAGTAACCAGACCAATGGGTCCCGCTCCCAGGATGAGTACCTTGGAACCTAAACCCACACCCGCTCGCCGGCAGGCATGGACTCCCACTGACAGAGGCTCTAGCAAGGCACCCTCCTCCATGGAGACATGATCGGGGAGCTTGAAACAAAAGTCTGCCGGATGCTTATAGTAACGGGTGAGGTTACCGTCGTAAGGGGGCGTGGCGCAAAAGACCATGCCGGGGCACAGATTGTATTGGCCACCCTTGCAATGGTCACAGTAGCGGCACGGTACTCCGGGCTCAATAGCCACACGATCTCCCACCTTCAGATTCTTCACCTTCTTGCCCAACTTGGCCACCACACCGGCGGACTCGTGACCAATCACCATGGGTTTGGTGAGCACAAAATCACCAATACGTCCATGCTGCAAGTAGTGGACATCAGAACCACAAATGCCGACACTGTCCATGGCCAGGAGAACCTCTAAATGTAAGGAAATGTAAAAGAAGTTTTTAATTTAATCAGCTTATGTAAGTATTTAAAAATATAATCTGATTAGGGTACTAAAACATATATATTTTCACCTTTAGGTAACAAATGTATGTTGTTGTATGTTGTTGCTTTCATTGCCTATCAGTAAATGATTTTTAGGTCATGTAAAATTTGACCTTGAAACTTTTTATATGAGGCACTTAGTTAATAAATTGATAAGAAAATTCATAAAACTAGTGCAACATTATCTAAAGGTTATTAAACAAAAAAAGATAAACAATAAAAATGTATAATAAATGGTTAAGTAGCACATACTTAGTGATAAATATTTAAATGATATAAAAATTTAGTTGGTTGATAGAATCTATTTTAAATTAAATCAAGAAATATTGGTAATGATTTTAAAATTGGTATTAAATTATTTGCAACTCAAAAAAATCATTTCTTATTGACAAAATCACATTTTAAAGTGCACTTTAAATATATTTAAATTCTTTCTTACCATCATCAGCTATTTCCGGTATAGGACGTTGTTCCTACAAAATTTAAGTTACTGAATAATAACTGGTGCCAAAAAAAATCCTTTTTCTACTTACCAAACGCATATCCTCAATGCCATATAGCACTGCTGTCAGATTATCCTTGGCCATTTTATTTAATTTCTTTTATTTTTAAGACCACCAAAGAACCGCTCGCTCGGAAAGCCGAGTTGTAACTGATTCGAACATATCAAACTATCAAGTACGAAGACCTATAAGTTCTCCGTTATCAGTCAATAGCACTTGGGTGGGGTAGTGTTGTGCCCATGTGACGTAGGAGTCCGGAATAGTGATAAGAATTTAGTAGACAACACACCTCCGCCTTCACTTGTTATCACTTCACTTGTTATCATTTTACTTAAACACAGCTGTTAGGCTGTCCCGATCCGTTTGTTTACATTTATATTCTAGGTTATTTAATGGAAACAGATTATAAAGGGTTTACTTAGTCAAATATATAACTTTAGAAGCAATAAAATATAATTATTTAAATAAATGTTCGTTTAATAATTTTAAAAATATTATATAGACAATATTATTTTTTTAAATGTACTACAAGAATAACAGTTCCCACGAAGAAACCTAACTTTTCTACCAAAATGTTTAGATATTTTACTATTACGGCATCCGTAATCTTAACATCTCGTATTATTTGACTGTCAAACTATTAAAAATTTTGAGAATTGTTAAAGACAGCTTTATTTAAGTACTTCATTTTTCAAGACCGTTAATAAATATGTAAGTATTTCTATACATAACTAACTAGCTAAAATACTAGCCTTATTGCTCAACTCCATTATGTTAATCCAAAGCATGAACAAAGTTAATTTATACCCTCACATTAAATAAGTTTAAATTGCTATCTATTGTATTTATGTTATAATCAAATTTACACAAACGGATTCCTTGGTCGGACACATCCTTAGGGATATGAAAGGTAGATCACAACATCCCGCTAATGTGCTTCCATGTCAGGCGTGTACTTTAGTACAAATAGGGGATGTCCTCAATGTGTCATTGCGGACATTTAACAGAACATCAAAAGTGGTTGCGCCATAAATAAGCAGACCCTAGCTTTGACCCCACAACTAGTTCGCTTCCAGCCCCCTGCAACCCCAACATCAATCCAACGAACAGCCCCAACCCCCCGAACTCTACTCCAATACCTCCCCTTTGCCGTTAGCTTTCCTGGACCCGAACCATTTGTAATTTTTTGCTTGGACAATAACAACGACAAACAAATTTTAGTCCACTTCTGTTTTATGGCAAATTAATGGAGCGACATGCTGCCCATGTTCGCAATGGAACTTTACTCCATGCACTCGAGCCTAGCAGGTGGCCTGGCCCCAGCTTCAGTACACCCCCGCTACCTCGTAAACACCATCCACTCATCCCCAAAGTTTTTATATCATCCTTTGCTTCACACATGCCGAATAAACATGGTTTATATCCTCACACTTACAAGGGGTATGCAGATTATATTGGAGCCTTTAAGAGAATACTGGTCCTAATTTATTTCTTAAAAGGTTTAGAATTATTTAACCAAAATAAAAGAAATAATTAATGTGATTCGGGAACATGTTTTATGGGACCTTAACCCCTCGTTGTATGATATAGTTACTAGGAAACCTAAAATATATATTTTCTAAGTAAATATCTAAGTATTTCAAATATCGCACATTTTTGAAAATAGGAAAAAAAAAAACTATTAATGGTGATCAATAATATATATACTTTATGGGGTCGGAAATGCCTCCTTCATTGCATTGCTAGCTTCTGACCAAAACTACAATACTTTACCAGGGTATACAAATAAGAAACTTAAAGAAATAGGAATGAAAAGTAGGTTCGATTAAATAATGTCGATAAATAAAGTAATATATTAAATATATATATTAAATATAAAGTAAAAATTAACCATATATTAACGTAGCAGTGTATGTGCTATAAGTTGGCATTCTGTGTCATATATTTTAGAAAAAAACAACAATAAATTAAAGCTTTGAATTTTTCGAGAATATAAATTTTATAATAATATGATATTTCAGGGGTCGAAGGGTAATCCTCATATCACTGCCACAATCACTATCGATGTAAACACTAGGTACCCCACGGACAGACTGAGGTCGCGGCGAAAGCAGTGCCTCTATTTATAGTTCCCGAGTCAAGAGAACAGAGAAAGTGAGAGCGAGAGAGTAAGAGATCGATAGAGAAAGAGTTATCCCTGGAGATGCACAGTGGGAGTTAGACGTACCGGATAAAAAGAGATGGAGAGAGTAAGAAAAAACGGGACGGCGAGAGAGGGAGAGAGCTGTTGATACTGATCAAAAATAAATTTACTTAATTAGGGCGTCACTGCGTTGCAAACTTTTGACTAAAATTACAATACCCTGCAAGGGTATAAAATATCTATATCTTTATATATTTATATATTTATATTTCGGGGAGACAACAATAAATTAAAGTTTTGAATTTTTCGATAATATCAATTTAATAATAATACTTTTCGATATTGAAAATTTCGATATTTTTAAGTTTACGAAATTTTCTTTATGGTATGTATATATTTTCTTTCAAAAAATATATATTTGTTTCATTATTTTTTTATATATCTTCACTGTCATAGAAAGATATTAATCTTTACTTTATATATACATATAGTTAGGTGACTTCTTAATTTATGATTAATGTAATTCAAAAGTCAACAGTCCTCTATTCTAGGGTATTCAAGGTCTGGCTTTTTTGAGTTTTGTTGCTTTTTGGGCCGTATTGTTGTTGTTGTTGTTGCTACTGCTGCTGTCACTGATGTCGATTTTGCGCAAGCTGGCTGTGTGTGTGTGTTTGTGTGCGGGTGTCCTGGGTGTTGCCATCTTTTGGCTCCGTTTTGTGTTGCCAGGACGGGCTAACATATTGGACATTTATTATTTTCCGTGAGTGTTTTTGCTCGTCGAGTAAATTATGGCAGTCCACTGCTGGTGGAAGTGAACAAACTCCATAACTATAACCCTTAGTACCAATGTGATGTACCTTTTGTAGATACTCGAAGCACAGAAGTATTAATTTTGTCATTTTCTTTTCTAATTAATTATGATTTTCTTTTTTATTATGGTAATATATTGACTTCTTTGAATGTTGGAATTATATAAATTATAAAAAAATCAAGCTCAAAAGAGCATTATTAATTAGGTTAATAATACCTGATCGTAATTATTAATAACAAATTAAAGCATAATCGATTTCGAAAAATATCTGCATAATGTATAGCCTGTTTATTTATTTATTCTTATTTTGTATTATTATTAAAATGAAATAAATGAATAACACTCTGCCCCTTTTTTCTTAGGAACTCCTAAATTTCTTGTACAAATTCATTACCAATTTCCTTTGGAAATTTCAGTCGTAAAACGCTTTGTTGATTCAGATTGGATGTTTGATATTGGGATAAACCCTGTTCAAAATAAAATCAAATCAGAATATCAGACGGGGTTGCAGAAATGTAAAGACTGGAGGTCAGTGGGTGGGTCAGAGCTGCAGGCGTGTTAAATTAATAATTGCATAAATTTTACATGTGCTGTTGCATGAGTTATGAACGAAGCGGCATAAATCGCGAATAATGTGCACACTGGCCGTGCGAGTATTTATGGGCGTGACTGTAAATCATCAAACCATAAACGCACTGGCAATGCCAACACCAAGCGGTCACTATATCCACCGATCCTCTCGACCTTTCGCGGTCTTTTTTCCAGTTGAGATTGAGCACTGAGCAAAATGTTAAATTTTTTTTAGAAAAAAAAATAGAGAAGATGGTTTTGAGTTTAAAATAAATATAAAGAATATGCACATTTACGATATTGGTTAAACCCTAGCAGCATCTAAAAGTATGCTGCTGAAACTTTACTTCGACCTAAAGCGTACACAAAACAACCTTTTCAAAATGTTTTTAGTTCCAAACAAAGGTAGACAGGAATATCTAGAGACCCTTTTATAAATTTGGTGTTCTTTCCAATTGTGAATTTTAATTTAAAATCATTCCGAAATTAGTTACAACTTTTTGTTTTTATGCTTATTAAAATGGAGCCTCTCATTGCAGTGTAGCAAAAGGTTTATTATTCAAAAGTTTTTGGTTTAATATTTGATCAAATGTAATCTAATTGATGATCTCTAAAATATTTATAATTTTTACAAATATATTTTAAATATTTTGTAAAAACTAAGAATATTTTGAGTCGTATATATTTTTATACGCTGGCCACGATTTTTATTCGCTTGAATTGTGCAGTTCCGTTTGGCGTTTCCAATTTTCAAAAAAAAACTCGCCCATGATAAATGCGAGAATTTAATGAAGTTGCATAGTTGTTAAAATACGATATACGCGGTAAGCTCGTTTATTCTTCTATTTTCAATTAAATATGTTAATTTAAATTATAAAGCAATGGTTGTATTCTTTTATATAGTTTATATAGTCGGCGATGACCACTTCATTGCGTTGCAAACTTCTGACTGAAATAATACCCTGCAAGGCTATAATAATTTATCAAAAGTTGGTACCAAAGTCAGGATCAGTTTTAAAACTATCGAAATGTTCAGAAATCAATATTCGAGAACAAATTATAAATAAGTTAGGCTGTGTACTTTGAGTATACGTTTGTGGATATCATCAAAACAAATTGCTGTATCATTATAAATTATAATTGAGTAATGGGATTTATAGTAATAAGGGAAATAATTAAACAAATAAATGCAGAGCTGAATCTAGCATCTGTGTATGCAAATGAAATATTTGTCATGACTAAGACTTAAGAAGGGGAATCATGGTATCGAAGATCTCTTCTTGGTTATCCAGATGTGTTCCATTAGCCAGATGATATTTCAGGGGTCGAAGGGTAATCCTCACATCACTGCCACAATCACTATCGAAGTAAACACTAGGTACCCCACGGACAGACTGAGGTCGCGGCGAAAGCAGTGCCTCTATTTATAGTTCCCGAGTCAAGAGAACAGAGAAAGTGAGAGAGCGAGAGTAAGAGATAGGTAGAGAAAGAGTTATCCCTGGAGATGCACAGAGGGAGTTAGACGCACCGGATAAAAAGAGATAGAGAGAGTAAGAGAGAGCGGGACAGCGAGAGAGGGAGGGAGCTGATGATGATCAAGAATGCC